TGGCGACTCTGGGACTTGCGATGGCGGTGCTGGCATGCTCCAAGCCCTGGGTGCCCGTCTTCATGACTCCCAGGGGCTTGAGATTCCTGTTGCCCTGGGCGGCGAGTCCCTTGTAGATCTTGCAGCTATCGATCTCTCACGAGTGGACCCGCGCATCAAAGATGTGCAGATCGAAGCAGCCGTCAATTGGGACAACGTTCTATGCGGACCTCAGGGAGTCGCTTCCGTCTTCGGGCCTCAAAAGGGTGCGACGCCTGAACAGACTCAGCGCCTCTCTACCGCAATGGAAGCACTGGGGCATATCACGGGCATAATTCTGGGCAATAAAGAGATCCGTTTTGCCCCTGGTGGTGGTGCCTCCGGAGGCCTGGGGACAGGCTTGCGTCTTCTTGGTACACGCCTCCGGCCCCGATATGAGGTCATCATGGAGTATATTGACCTCGACAGCCTCTTTGATGATTGTGACCTTGTCCTCACCGCCGAGGGCGGTATTGATGATCAGACTCCACGGGGGAAGATCCCAGGTGAGATTGCCCGCCGCGCAAAAAGACACCAACTCCCTGTCATTGCCATTGCCGGGACGATTGGCCCCGGGGCTCGCGTGAACTACGACGTGGGCATCGACGCCTTTACCTGTATCCTTCAGCGTCCAACTACCCTGGAGGATGCTGTGATGGAGGCAGAGAAACTCACGAGGGAGAGTGCCGAGACCGTGATGAGGATTGTGGCTGTGGGGAGGATGTTGGGCTTGGTCAAGACGGTTCCTGGTTCTTCTAAGTAACTTTTTGTTATGATTTACGATCATGATTGATTATTAGTGATGAATAAATGAAACGCTGTTCTTTTTTATTAATTTGCTTAACTGATACAACAATGGATGGCCTCCCACCATGCCGTGACCTTCATCAGGCACAATAATCTACAACTCCATCGCTATTTCCAGAAGACCTGTCCCTCCATGAGCCTCCTTGCAGTGCGGAACACCGTACATGACTTGAGGTCTCCCGAGCTGCCGAAATCGGCGGTGACAGCCAACTGACCACTAGCATGATGGATCACCATCTCAGAGCCGTTGCCTCGGCTCACCAGCCCATGAATCACCGTCTCGGGCAGTTCCGCCGCTGCCGCTGCGGCAAGTGCTACTGTCACAGGAACGGCTTTGTGTGGTTGGCCAACAGACATAGCACGGACAATGATGCTGTCCGTCGATCCGTCCGTCGGCGCAGAAACGATGGCGATCTTGGGGACGCTTCCGGGAACGTTGTCCGTCGTTTCAGCGAGGCCCATCCGCACAGCAGCTTGCCCTCGAATCTTCTCCAGCTGCTTCTTTAACGTGGGGTGGGCGTCAATCTCCTGTGGTGTGAGGGTTCCATCCACACCGAGCTGCTCCGCCGGCACGAAGCAGCATGGGTTTCCTGCGTCGATGAGAGTAACGCATATCCCTTCAATCTCATCAATCACATTGCCGGTAGGGAGAAGTTTGCCTGTCCTTGAACCAGCCGGGTTCAAGAAGCGCAGTGTTACTTTTGATGCTGTTCCATCAACACCGTCAATGGCATAGTCCCCGTAGGCTTCTGCCTCTCCCTCGACCACGGGAAACGCCGCCTCGATTATTTTCTTGGTATTGGTGTTGAAGATACGGACGGTGGCCTCGGTCGCTTCTTTCGAGGTTGAGATCAGACCTGTGTCAACTGCATAAGGGCCAACGGCGGCGGACATATTGCCGCAGTTGCTCGAGTAATCAACATTGGTGTTGTTGATGCCCAGCGACACAAATGTATAATCCACGTCAGCACCTGGCTCCGTGCTCTTCCCTACGACACAAACTTTCGACAGGCTGGAGATTCCACCTCCGAGGCCGTCCAGCTGTCTCCCGTACCTGTCAGGGCTTCCAATGCTATTAAGGAAGATTGAATTCCAGGCGGTGGGGTCTGCCGGGAGGTCATCCTTGTTGAAGAAGATTGCCCGTGATGTCCCGCCTCGATAGTAAGCAGCTGGGAGACGGTTCTGTTTGCGAGAAACCTGGCTAGCAAAGCGCACAGAAGTATGAGGTCGAGAAATGGTAGCTGATCGGAACAGGCTCTGGGAAGCCGGCCGGGCTAGGGCTCGTACAGGTGAGAATGACATGGTGTGCCAGGCTGCTGTGGGTTCAGCAGGAGTACCACATGTAGGCGAGCAGGTAATTCTACTATGAGTAATATGTACAAAAGCGTCGGATAGCTGCGAAATTAAATGAGATTGGGGGAATCAGTCTAGACCGTGACGCCTGGAAGCCGAGGCCAGTCACAACAACCGCGCGTTGAGTGTATCGGAACGATCCGGTGGGAGACTCGTCGGCTAGATCCAGGTCAGGTCATAATTGCCATCTCCTTATTGGCGCCCAGATCGTTGTCGGTCACACGCGGGGTATGGGGTAACCGAAATTGGGGAAACTCAAAATTCTCCCTGCTTCAAGTCTGGTATGAAGACATATATTAGACCAGCAAGAGGACACTGATCCTTTTGGAGTTCTCCAGATCTTCGCCAGTCTCCTTCTTCTCAACCCGGCATCTTAAACATTGTCATGGATCGTCTTAAGAAATCATCTTTAGCCAATCATGTTAACGGCATCAAGGCTTTGCCTCGAGCCGTTCTCAATTGGCGATTATTTCTCTCTTGTTTCGTGTTTGGAATGTGTGGTACTCCAAAGGGTATGAATTCGTCGCTGTTGCTCTCTTGGAAACAAGATTACTGACACTCCAATTAGGTTGGGACGAAGGCTCTGCAGCCTCCATTACATCGCTCGCCTCCTTTTCTCGAAAATATCACCTCGACGATGCGACTATATCGAATATTGTGTCTCTGGTCAATGTGGGAGCGGGTGTTGGTGCTCTCTTGTCGTTCTTCCTCAATGACAAGCTCGGCCGTATTTGGTCGATGAGAGTGTACCAAGCTCTGTACGCCGTCGGCTCCCTAGTTTCGTGCTTCTCATACGGGAATGCGGGAGCACTATACGCTGGCCGCATCATTGCTGGCCTGGGGATCGGAGCTTGCAGTGTTGTTGGGCCTATGGCGATCGCGGAAATTGCGCCAAAGACGATTCGTGGTTTCCTCACCCTGTGGTTCAACATTTGCATGCTTGGATCACAGGCGCTGGGCAGCTTCACCGTTCTTGGGTGCAGCATAAACATCTCGCCAGCTCTCGACCTTCAGTATCAAGTGCCTTGGTTTGTCCAGACATTTGTTCCTGCTCTTGCCATCGCACTATCATTCTTCACCTGTGAATCTCCCCGCTGGCTGGCCATTACTGGCCGCATGGAAGAGGCGAAGGACACGCTCTACAAGCTCCGTGGCCTCCCAGAAGACGATGCCTCAATGCAGCTGGAGTATGCTCAGCTCGTCTCTCATATCGAGGATGAAAACAGCGAGAATCCACAGGATGGATACTGGGCCATTATCAAGGAGACGTTTGGCAAGAGATCAAATTTACGTCGTGTGCAACTTACGATTGTGGCCTACATTCTCGCTCAGTTTTCCGGCGCCAACTCCATTACCAATTATCTACCTACCATCTTTGGTTTGATTGGAGTTAAAGGCACTTCCGCCAAGATCTATTCTACTGGGCTCTATGCCGTTGCGAAACTGGTTTGTTGCTTCGCCGCATCGCTTTTCATTGTCGATATCTTAGGTCGACGGAAGTCACTTATGCTGGGAGTCACTGTACAAATGATGTGCCACGCCTATCTGGCAGGGTACCTCAAGCACTTCCGCTCTGATCCAGCATCTGTACCTTCTGGGGCTTCAGATGCGGCCATTGCAATCATCTATATTCACGCCTTTGGATGGGCAGTGGGTTTGTACACATTGCCATACCTCTTCGGCGCCGAGTTGTGGCCTAATCGCATCCGTTCCTTCGGTGGTGCCGTCTCGCAGTGCTTCCACGTACGTGTTCAATCTTTTCTCCTCTTCCCACTTCCATATTTTAGCATATACTAACGGGTTACAATCGATAGTGGCTGTTTTATTTCGCCATCACGAAAGCCACGCCTAGCATCCTGTCCTCTATGGCCGTCTGGGGTGCCTTCGTTTTCTTCTTGGCTTGGTGCGTCGTCGCATTTGTGTACACCGTCTTCTGTGTGCCAGAGACACGTGGCCTCAGCTTGGATGAAATGGATGCCATCTTTGAACGCCCTATTTATAGCATGCGAAAACCTCTTCCTCGTTCAGCGGATGAGGAGTATGGGGCTACGGAAAAAGCACAAGTAGCAGCACTTGAAATGGGCTCTGCAAAGCATTATGAGAACTAGACTCTCATACTTGGATCAGGGCAACAACTCTTTGACGAAGCTTTTTATGGATGTAGTATAGAGAATTATCCCCAGCCAAACATCACCTCGTCTTCTGTATCATCTAGGTAAATTCTGTGTTAATACATCCGCGGCCACGTTCACATTTACCCTCATTAATTCCCCAAAAGGGTGGACGGTGTATTTCAGAACCTTCTGCTCCCCGTATTCGACCATTTTGGTAATATTATAACATATATCACAATCCTTGTAAGATGAGTGAGCTTACATTAGGCTGAATGAGTAATAAATGTATTCGGATCAGTGAGTGAGATGCATGCCCATTTATAAGATTCCCGGCTTCAATTTTTACATCGTATACGAACGTGTTCTAACCAACCACTGTAACGCGGGGCTCCTTCTTCCCTGGATCTGCATGGGCTTACTTTGTATGAATCCAAAAGTGGCTGCTTACTTCAGTACCAGAGTTGATGCCAACGGGTCAACGCGTCTATCCTACTCGCTATTCTTGTTTACACGAAAGCCTTAGGGGTTATTTGATCGCGCGGTCTTCAGTATCAAAGCGCGGGATGCTTAACCCATGGACGTGACTTTCAGATTTATCTAATGTGTGACCTCGACTAAGCCTTTCAGCTAGCTATATCGCCTTGCTATATCGCCTTACTGATATATACAAAAGAATCGGGATTTATTGATGACTTGTGTTCTATTCATCTATTCGTAAATGCGAGCAGGGTTATCTACCAGCATCTTTACCCATGCTGTCTCGCTGTTCATCCAGCTTTTCAGCGATGCAAGCAGTGTTCTATTATCCACATGTCTAAACGGCTCGACCTTGTCAATTCCATTGGCTTCCCTATCTTTCCCTTCGCCAGTATGTGGCCAATCGCTGGCCCATACCAACTGATCCGGAACCTCCGAAGCAAGGGAGCGAACAAGAGGTGCAAGATCATTGTGGGAAGTCTCCTTTTGTGTTGATGCTCGATATAGACCAGAAATCTTTATAATGACTTTCTTCTTGCGCGCAAGTTCTGTCAGCGACTTGTAGCCAGGCTGCTGAGAGTGGTCTACATTTGCCCCTTCTAGGAGCTTTGATGGGCCTCTGAGTCCGCCAATGTGATCAGCAATAACTGGCACTGGTAGAGCAAGAACACTGTCGAAAATTTCTAGGACGGTCGTTAGTGAATGGACACAATGAAGATTGAGTACTAGAATTACCATCCCAAATGTATCCCGGGATGAACACCTGAATCGCCCAACCAGGCATATGGGCAATGCGCTCAGCGGCAGCCACGAGACTTTTGTTGAAGGCGACTGTATCAACGCTCTTTCCGTCAGCCTGGAAATTTAACCGAAGACCGCGAACTCCCAAATGATGCATCTCTTGCAGTTCGGCATCTGTGACGGTCTGCACATCTACGACAGCGATTCCACGCCCCTTATGACCCAGTGCTTGGAGGGATCTCAAGGTGCTCAATAATACGGTGTTATCTGTGCCATACGGAGATGGCTGCACCATGACAAAAGACGGCGCCTCTGATGCCTGAGTAATGCTCCGGCCAAAATCTACCAGCTGAGAAAGGGAAGCTTGGGCTGGAGTGTAGGCCCTTGAAGGTGCAAATGGCCCAATTGAGGTGTCAAATACGTGAACATGCGTATCCCAGGCACCTGGAGGTAGGGCATCACTTGAATACGGTCAGTTTCATCGGATCTCCAGTTTTCCCTATGGAGATCGACTTACTGCTTGTCAGATACGGGATCCATCTTGAAAAGCTTTGGCCTAGGAAAGTCAATGCCGCGTTGGATAGCCTGGAATCTTGGAATGAATAATCTGCAGCGGGCCCGATGGGTTCGTGAAATTGCCAGCATGAGAGCTCTCACCAATACAAGTCGTTAGGTAACGTCCAGTTCATGCCAAACTAAGTAACCAGACGTCTTAGGCCACATGGCCAGCACTTGAGTCAGGGGAGACTTGATGAGCATCGGATGCATCCGACGGGGCTTGGCTGGTTGCGGGGATCCGGATAGTGCCGGATAGGGCCGGACGGGACAGGACTGAAGTTTGCCCTTCGCCACCTCATAATCTTCCCTCAGACATCCTGGGCTCCATGATCCAGTTGTTCCATTCGCATCGATCCGTTGTGGAGTGCAGAAGGCCATGTCGGACGAAGAGTCATCCATCCAAGTGTCCGGGCTGGACGGCACAGAGTCTGCTGCAGGCTCAACACCGGTCCGCCGTCGCCGGGGCCTGAAACGAAGCTCTGCTGCTTGTCATAGGTGCAGGCAAAGAAAGCAAAAGGTATCGTCGGCGACTTCGCAGATCAAGGTGATTTCTTTCCTAACACAGACGATAACAGTGCGACGGAAAGCATCCGAGTTGCGAACCATGTCTCGCCGCGGGAGTAACTTGCATACCTTCAGAGCGTCTTGTGGTTCGGTCGGATCCATGCTGTGATTGTGAACAGCTCCGGGATCAAGTGCAAGCTCTACGCTCGGAAAATGAGAGGCTGAGACGCCAGCTAGACTGTTCAGTAGACAATTTCCAGCCGGACTTTATCGACACCCCTGTTCTGGAGGTGCCTCTAGAAGATGCTGCTCCACCATTAACACCAAGTTCTTCGAGAAGGGAAACCCAAACCAACTCAGAGGAGCATGTTGCATATAGCGGGCGCATTCTGCTGCCGACATTCCGGAGACGGAACACCGGGGATGGGGTGAACACATCATTCTTGACGAGCCCCTGGCATCTCTGGCATGGGCTTAACGCTGATGCGGGAACAACTCCCGGGGCATCATTACCATCGTACCTAACAGAAACTGGGGAGTTTGCAGAACTCTTCTTCGCCCGTCGATGGCCACAGTTCCCTGTCCTTCACAAACCCACATTCATGAAAGACGTGTACGGGCCCTTCATCACGGGTGAAGTATGTAATGGCTTGACCAAGTTCCAAGCAAACATTGTCCTTGCGATAGGCGCGTCAGAAAAGTCGAGAACAGGTCCGGGTGAGGTGGCGGCACACGATCACTTCTTTGAGGCCGCCATACAACACTTGGGTGCTGTACTAGCATCCGATGATGTGTCATGTATCCAGAGCTTACTCCTGCTGTGTATATACGGTAGCAACGAGCCCGAACGTGTCGACCTCTGGTATACGGTGGGGTTGGCTCTACGCTTGGCGCTTGGGATCGACATGCATCGGCAAGAGACAACCCCATGCGGCAGCTTCGTGCAGGAAGAGATGCGCAAACGGCTGTTTTGGAGCATCTACACGATGGACAGAAGCATTTCAATAGCCATGGGTAGACCCACCGGACTCCAAGACGTAGACATCACCGCCGCCTTGCCGCTGTGCTTGTCCGATAACCAGCTACTTCAACCTCGCGAGACGGCCGTCCCCTCAGTCCTACCAAGTCCAGATGATCTCTCGACATTCCTCCACATTATTCGACTCCGCCGTATCAATGCCGAAATATATACTGCCCTACACGCAGCGGGCAACGCTCCCGCCGAAGGAACCGACCCTACTAGATACCACTACCTCGCCATGCTAAATGCATGGCTTGCTGCAGCACCCAGATACATAGCGCCAACGTCAATGCACCAGACAGCCGAATGGCAGCAAATCGCCTATCATCAAGCTGTGCTGACTCTCTTCCGTCCCTCTTTCGTTTCTCCCGTCGTCTCGGTCGACGGGATGCGGCTGTGTGCGGACTCGGCAATCAGCCTCGTCAACTGTTACCACTCTCTCTACGCCAAGAACAAAGTGTCTTATACCTTTGTCGCCCTCGTCTCTCTTTTCATGGCGGCCATCACGATCCTCTACGTTCTTCGAGCCAGCCCATTGCTGCGTCAAGAACTGACAAGGGAGGTGACGCAGTCAAATGTGGCCTCCTGCGCAGCTGCCCTCCGGCGCATATCAGGCGGTCGGTCTGTGGGCGAGCGAAGTGCGCAGATTGTCGAGAGGCTTGGAAAGTCAATTCTTGCCCTCTTCGAGGCAACGGAAACTGTCGATGAGGAGGTGGACACAGAGTTCATGTCATGGTTTGGTCTGCGGTGTCAACAACCCTCCGTGGAGAGTCAGACGACGCCGAGTATTGACGTGGCGTGGATTGACTTATTAGATGAGGGATTTGACCTCCGGAACAACTTCTATTCTGATGCCTTTATTTAGTCTACGGAAATAATCTACTGTGTAGCAAGAATAGTGTGAGAAAGCTCGAGTCGGAGAGGCTTGGAAAAGTATGTAGTTAGTCACCGTGGTATATTAAGAAGAGAATTGTAGCTTCGATAGTGTATTAGATATGAATTGAAATATTCTATTCGTCTACAAGAACGAACTGATCAACGTCCTGGTTAGCAGCCTCGCCTTTTAATTCCTACTAGTTTTGCTCCTTGCGGCAACAGCTTCCTTGACCGAATCCCCCAATCCGACCATGCATATCGTCGCCCAAGTGGCGACTCCAATACGGGGAACTACTCCTCGAAGCAATCCAACAGGTCCTGATGTCTGTACAATGTGCTTTGCTGTGGACAACATAGTTGGTGATGCTGGTCTCGTAGGGTCTGCTTTTAACGATTGCATCTCGACGCGAACGACCTAAACAATGGTGTGAGTCTAGAACCAGATTGGTAGGCGAAAAGAACATATCCTTACCTCGAACGGCTGGTTCCAACAGCTTAGGGCCCCTCCCACTGTAGAAGCGCAAATCTTCTCGGTCAAGTTCAGCCTTTCCGAGTCTTTCTTTCCCCGTAATGCGCGGATGGGACTCTCTGCGAGCCTCGCAATGCCGATTCGGGACGACCAGCCCGTGATCTGTCGCAATGCCACGGCGTTGACTCCTCGGTTGACACCGCGGATTCCTTGAGTCCTTAGGATGTGAACAAAGGTCTCCATCGTGCCAGGGATGCGGCCACCTGGCGCGGCATTCTTCACTCTGGTTACTTCGATGGTTTTCATGCACGTTGTCATACCCATGGTCAAGTAAGCCTGCGAAGCACCACCAACGACACCACCGAGACCGCCGGCGACAGTGTTTGATGCATTGAAATGCTTCTTGGCGTAGTACTCGACCTCTGAAGATGTCAAAATCAAGATGGCGCCTTTGGTCGAGGCCTCAAGCCATGCCTATTACCTGTCAGACTTCACCCTCATTCAGCCTGCATGATGAATGAACATACCCATGGGATAAGACCTTGATAAAAGCCACGAACTCCTCCACGAATCCAAGCCTGGCGAACGGCCTCTGCCAATGAGTCACCTCTGTTCGCAGCGACCTGGAATTGGTGTTAACACTCCGTAGCAATGGTGGTTGGATCGGATACACTCACGTGTGTTTTGATCACCTCCATCGGTTGACCCAGCGTAGTAACTAACGAATTTTTTCAACGTCTGTGATCCCCATTAGGTGAGGACGCGGTGGGGGCTGCCAACCTTGGAATATGTTCATCCCGGCTCCTACAAGAAGATTGCTCCATGGCGTGGCTTTCTTCGTTACCGGTTGAGACACCAGGGCGTAGTCAAGTGCTTGAGCCATTGTGAATGTGTCGCAACGTGAATGAAAACGAGAGCCTATTTACTGGTAGTGCTATCCAATCAAGAAAAGGAAGACGAATATTCATTTTAAAATGATGCTCCAAACATCAAGTTCCGCCCCGATACCCCAGATTGAACTCTGTCGGATGCATCCGATGGGCAAGTCAGGGGCAAACTGGGTGTGGTGGATCAGTCTACGAGGGCGACCTCTTTAAGAAACACGAATGTATAACAGGGCTTTTTTCCTAATTTATTATTTGATTACCATTTACTCAATTATTACTCGTCAGTTAATTACCGAAATGTGGCAGAGTATTCGGTGTTCACAGAGGGCGCCAAGACGCTTCTTGCGTTGTCTTGCGACAGCCAGTTCACAATCACCAAGAGCCCCCCTCAGCAGATTGGAGCCTGACAAGTTTATTGACTACTCCCAATTGGCGCGCAGAATAGAGAAAAGTCGAGAAATGTAAGTATCTCCATTGTGGAAGATTGCCATTAACAACATCCACTGATGGCTCGCAGTCAACGGCGTCCTCTGACGTACGCGGAGAAGATTCTCTACGCCTACACGGATGAGTTGGATGTGGTAGAAAGGGGCAAGACGCAGCTCAAGCTACGGCCTCAGAGAATTGCTTGCCAAGATGCCACAGCGCAGATGGCCATCATCCAATTCATGTCAGCAGGCCTACAGACGACCGCCGTTCCGACAACTGTCCACTGTGACCATCTAATCGTAGGGAGAGATGGCCAAGACAAGGACTTACCAAATGCACTGAATACGCATGGTGAGGTGTACGACTTCATGTCCAGCGCCTCAAGTCGCTTCGGGATGGGTTTTTGGAAGCCTGGTGCTGGTATTATTCACCAGATTGTCCTAGAAAATTATGCATTCCCCGGTGGCATAATGGTAGGCACAGACTCGCACACGCCAAATGCGGGCGGAATGGGCATGATTGCTATTGGCGTTGGTGGCGCAGATGCTGTTGATGTGATGGCTGGTCTTCCGTTTGAGTTGACGGCGCCTCGCATCATTGGTGTTCGGTTAACGGGCCAGTTGTCCGGATGGGCAACTCCAAAAGGTAAGTGGTTACTGAGATTTCCCTGTAACAACGGATGCCAACAGACAGTGTCTGACACAATACTATAGATGTTATCAACAAGCTGGCTGAGCTTCTCACCGTCAAGGGCGGGACTGGGTCTATTATTGAGTTCTTTGGGCCTGGATCAGAAACTCTATCAGCCACTGGCCAGGCAACTATTTGCAATATGGGTGCCGAAACTGGAGCAACTACATCCATCTTCCCTTACTCAGAAGCAATGGCCCGTTACCTCCAGGCAACGGATCGCCACGAGATTGCCCAAGCACTCGGGTTCGCCTCTCATGAGCTTCGCGCTGACCCGGGGGCCGAGTATGATCGTGTCATTGAAATCGATCTCTCCTCTCTGGAGCCGCGAATCAACGGACCATTCACGCCTGATCTTAGTAATCCCCTCTCAGAGTTCCCAAACGCCATCGAAAAGGGTTCTTGGCCCCAGGAGCTTACCGCTGGACTGATCGGTTCTTGTACCAACTCCTCCTTCGAAGATATGACCAGGGCCGCCTCGCTCGCCAAACAGGCTTTGGATGCAGGTCTGAAACCCAAGATGCCGCTGCTCGTGTCTCCTGGAAGCGAAAAAACGCGGGAGACTCTTCATCAGGATGGGACGCTGAAAATATTCAAGGACCTTGAGTCTACTCTTCTTACCAATGCTTGCGGACCCTGCTGCGGCTCTTGGGACAGACAAGTCATGAAAAAGGTGAGCATCATGGCATGTCATTTGCAAATAAGAGTTTCCAACTCTAACTAGACGTATAGGGAACACCAAATTCCATCATCACTTCGTACAATCGCAATTTCACTGGTCGGTTAGACAGTAATCCAGCCACTCATATCTTTCTAGCCTCACCGGAAGTTGTTATGGCCAAGATCTTTTCCAGGGACCTCGCGTTCGATCCAACCAAGGATGCCCTTCTCACCCCCAAGGGCAAAGAATTCAGATTCCAGCCTCCCACGGGGGCAGACTTACCATCCAAAGGATATGCAAACGCAGACCAGGTTTATACTGCCCCTCCATTGACAGAGCAGGACCGCAGTGGTGTCGAGGTACAAATCAAGGAGAGCTCTGAGAGACTGCAACGACTTTCTCCATTCTCGCCGTGGTCTGGTACCGACTTCAACAACTGCGTTATTCTCATCAAGGCGAAGGGGAAGTGCACAACAGACCACATCACGCCGGCTGGCCCTTGGTTCCGCTACCGCGGCCACCTTGACAATATCTCCAACAACACTCTAATCGGTGCTGTCAATGCGGAAACAGACAAGGTCAACACTGTGACGAACTGGCTTACAGGGGAAGATGGGGACGTGCCTGGAACCGCGCGCAAATACCGCGCTGCATCACAGCCATGGGTGGTCATTGGTGATTACAACTACGGTGAAGGTTCATCACGGGAGCACGCAGCGCTGCAGCCGCGCCATCTCGGCTGCGTGGCGATCATTGCCAAGAGCTTCGCGCGTATCCACGAGACTAATCTGAAGAAGCAGGGCGTTCTGGCGCTCACGTTTACAAAAGAAGAGGACTACGATCGCTTGGTGTCATCAGACCGTCTGACCATTGGAGGCTTGAGTGGGCTGGAACCTGGTAAGCCCGTTGTGGTTGCTGTCGATCCGACTGATGGCAGGGAGGGATGGAAGGCGGAAGTGACACATACCATGACACCGGAGCAGATTTTATACTTTAGATCTGGAAGCGCTCTCAACCTCATGGCAAGCCGGAAGAACGGCGATGAAGCGCATATCTAGCCATAATTTAGATTGTAATAATTACAACAAGCCCAGGAATTTCACTAACATGGGAACGATCTTGACGTACACTTTGCTTCACATATCAAAGGTACAAATTCAAATCTGTGTCGAAGGTAATTCAATTGACCTTAGAGGAAAGGTGACTAGGACCCCAACAACATGCATTTATTGGTGTGTTTCAATCCTTCTGTCTCCAAAATTTCCGAATCCCACGACCACGTCGTTCAGGCGACTTAAAAATGCTGACACTGCCAGTAACCATCAGATCGGCATCAGTTATGGCTTTCCCTCCCAAACGGCCCCAAGAAAATCCTCGGCCTGGGTGAACTTGAAATCCGGCAATAGCTCATTCCACTCATTCGAAATGTCCCAAGCACCTTTAATGCTACTCAGTAGTATTCCGATGGAAACAGCTTTTAAAAGAGCCGATGCCTGCTCGTCCGAAACGGCTTTATGTACCGCTTCTAAATTCCAAGATGTTTTGAGGTCGCCAGCTTCGAGGTCCTTGATCGAAACTTTGTCTATTTTAAACGGTTCCCCTAAAATTGTATCATCAGTAATTCGACATAGCACATTCTGTGATGGAGGGCCTGTCAAGTTACCTCGAATCCTTCCTCCAAGCTCGATGACTTCGGAAAAAGTCATCCTGTTTCCACAAATACCACCTCTTTTAGGCCACTTCCCCTCATATTCAACAGCTCTAGCAATTACTGCAGCAAGATCTGCCACCGTGGTAAGTGTCATGATGGCATCCTCGTAGTCTTCGACAAGAATTGCCCGCTTATTCTCAAAATCAAAGACACTCTGGAGAGGATCAACATGCTTCGAAGTCTTGTGAGGATACGCAAGGTAGTTCAGGAAAAGGCCAGGCTGGAACAATGTGTACTCGAGAACCTTCCACGCAGTGTTAGTGCGAGTGTTCGAGAATTGGAATAGAAAGGTTTGCGGGGAGTCCAACCTGCCCTCCAGCATTCACCTCCTCCAAGTACTCTCGGATTTTCTCCTTCCCCTCCCACCAACTCATATGAACCGTGCCTTTGCTTGGATTCAAAAGTTAGCCAAGTTGCCATTAAGAGAAAGATTCAATTCACAAAAACACCTTCCATATTCGCTAGGTGAGAAGCGTTTCACACCAGCAGCAATTGAGGCGTCAATCAAGTTCCTTTGTGACTTTTGGCCGGGGTCAGAGAGTAATTGGATGAATGACAAGACGGTATGAACACCCCGTAGAGCATCAATCAGGGACAGTTTATCGTCATAATCCACGGTCTTCCAACGAATATCGGGTGTTCCGAGAACCGCTGGAGCTCCCTAGAATATTCATCAGTTCTGAAGGTTGGCAATTATTGTGTTATGCCTACCTTTCTGCTCAAGATCGTGATTGTATGCTTTTTGGAGGCAACCAGGGCATCTATAATCTCGTGGGACACCTCTAGGAGTGAGTATGTCAGTCTAATTCGTATGTGGCGGGAGATTTGGTGCACGTACGCCCAGAGCCACCGGCGATAGCGATATTGACCATTTTAAAAAGAGTTTGATGATGAAAGTGATCTATGTTTAAACCAAAGAGTTGCTGTTGAATATTCTTCCCTGAAATGGGGAAGCATATTATTTATAGACGGATCTTAGGTGAAGAGCTTTGGACAGTCCTTCGACCGCGGCGGAACTCGAGTGTTTCACAAGTAGCATTTATTAGTGGAGAAGCTCCCTGAGCGACTTTCTCCGCCGCGGAGGAAGACATCAGATTGGATTTAGTTCCATCAACTCGGGCTCAACATTCAGACTTTCCCATCAACAACTCCGGCCAATATGTCGCATCTGTCTCCGCTCAAAGATGCTTCCGCCGCGGATGAAGATACTGCCGCCACTCCCAGCAGGAAACGCCGAAAGATTCGCAAAGGCACACAGAGCTGCTGGGAGTGCAAACGACGGAAGATCCGGTGCACGTTTGCAGCTCCAGCCGACACCACTTGCGATGGATGCAGGAGTCGAAGGACGAAATGTGTCAGTCAAGAGTTTGATGACGAGAGCGCTTTGGAGGATCTCCACGGAAAGGGACGAAACGCAGCCAAGAAGCCGATTGAGGGGAGTATCGTTGACAAACCACTGATCGCTACGAGGGCGATAAGCCCGCTCAAGGCTATGTGCAACGTAAGAAGGGTTCCTCTTTCGCTTAAATCGCTTACTAACTCCAGAGAGATAGAGCCAGCAAGGTGATTGGAAGAGTGACACTCACGGGATGCACTTCTCAGCTACAACGGCCATCCCGAATCTTCCCCCGGGCGGTGAGCCGAGCAAGCCCAGTGAGCTATCGGAATCTCTTCTTGCCGCGTGGCCGAGTCCGAAAGATCTTGATATCTTGCTAGAAGCTCCAATGAGCTCTTCAGTACTCTTCCATGGTGTCGTTTGTCGGCCATTCTCCGAGTTGATGTCTCAGAACATCCTATCACCCCGTCAAATGCTACAGTCGCCCACACAAAACATGCATCCCATTCTAATTACAAGGAAGCTGTTGCTGCTCTCTACATTTCTTCAAGGTATTCCAGCGGATGATTCCGTGCAGATTCCTGGGTTAAGCAAGGATGCTCGCTCTATCATGGCTACAGCCTTCAGAGTCGCTACGAGGCTAGGGACAGAGGATGATGAGGCTCTCACCTCAATAGAAGGCCTTGAGTGCATCATGATGGAGAGCATGTATTTGAACAATGCTGGAAATCTACGGCGTGCTTGGTTGGCAAATAAGAGGGCGATTTCTATGGCACAACTCTTGGGCCTCCATTCAAGAAGCAGCCCACCAGCACCTGTCATCGAGGAAGAAACAAGGCATCGAGTTCGCCCAGACTATATGTGGGCTCGCCTGATCATGTCAGATCGTTACCTTTCCCTCCTCCTTGGTCTACCTCATGTCATCGTAGATGATGTCTTTGCCCTTCCGGAGGTTTTGGAACACTGTGATGCGGTGGACCGGATGGAACGTCTGCAGGCTGTTGTTGGCGGGCTCATCCTGCAAAGAAATATGAATAAAAGGACGGATGCCACATCAACACAGAGCATTGACCAAGTGCTACAGGATGCATCCGCAGTAGCACCTTCTTCTTGGTGGCTGCCAATCCTCGACCTCAACGCCATGGTTGGCAATGACGCCAGAGCACTGAGAGAAGCAATCCGTATCATGAGTCATTTCACACATCGTCATCTCGTGCTTCAGGTTCATCTCCCATTTTTGGCTTTACCATCCTTCGGAGATGAAAGATATGCCTATAGTAAGATCACAGCAGCGAATGCCAGTCGTGCCATTCTCACTCAGTTCGTTTCCTTTCGCAACGTCTTTACGTCCACGGCATATTGCCGTGGCATAGATTTTATTGCCTTCATAGCAAGCACGGTTTTATGCATTGTACATATTCAATCACGGCGTCGACACAAGAGTGTCGGCGTTTTCCAGTCGCTTCAGCATCAGAGGTTGAGCGATCGAGCTCTTCTGGACCAAACTCTCGACATCATGGGAGCAATGGCAAAGCGGACCGGTGATTCCGTGGCCGCTAAAGTCTCTAGTATTCTGGATCCTCTTCTCGTCATTGAGAGCGAGTCGTCGGCCGGAAGACCATACAGCATCTGCACTTCCTCGGGAGAGAACATGCAGGAGGGTTCTGATTATCATGCTGAATTAAAAGAGAATGGGCATGCTATTCGAATCCAAGTTCCGTATCTTGGAACAATCATGATTGAGAACCGCCCAGCCGAGGCTGATGCTGAAGAGCCTTTCCTTTTTCTTGCAAATTCTAGCTCAATATCCGCTTCACCCAGTGCAGGTCAACCAGTCACACATCCCATTGGGTATCAAATCACCAACGTGTTACCTGTCAACCCAGATTGGCAGGCAGTTCCATCGCAACTCTGTGTTTCTGGTACACCCATTGAACCTACAATGGATGAAACTTCGAACCATTCTTACCGGAATATCAATTTTAACAAGGCGCTTGATAGCTGTCTTCCAGTACCTGGGCTTGACGCGAATGTGGAAGAATGGGCCCTGCAGGGTGCCGATCTCGCTCTCTTCAGTACTCTTACGCATGATTTTCAAAATGATGAGACAACAACTCAAGATGGGAGTAAATAATGTAAGAAGCATCTACAAAAAGCAGCAAAAAAAAGAAATGGGAAAGTCCCCCCGTGCATATACACGCCAACTAGCATGAAGAGCAAAGGAATAGGGCCAGCAGAAATGAATTTCCAAATCAATAGTGCAATGGACAATTTCTGATTAAAAAAAGCCTCTCTACTTAAACTCCGCAGGAATCAGTTTAGCCACTCTCATTCTATCAAAGACAGGCCCCCAAGCCTGCTTGGCTGATCTCTCTTCCGTAAAACCCGCCTCCTTATACAGCCGGCTCATATCGTACCATCGATCGGTATCAAACTGCGTGATGAGAAAGTACTCAAAACCAGGAAAGACCCTTTCGTTATCGGCATGTCCGCTTTGCAGTCCATACTTTTTCTCCATCTCTTCCCACCTTCTGTAATTCTCTTTGATATAACGCCGCACCTCGATGGGATTGTCCTCTGGTAGCTTCACCCCTTTGAGCCCAAACAGAGAGCATAAGACCGGCCACTTGTCTCGCCAGCAGTGGGGCGCCTGCTCATCAGCAACATTATAAGCATGCCCCTTGGGAGTGTCAGGTGAAAGCGCAATGTGGAGGGTCTGGCGAGCGATCATATCTGATGATGAGTCCTGGGACTTGGCCAGCCATGAGTCCCCAGTTCCTGGGAACGGGCACTCGGATCCCTCTCCATTAATCTCCCGATAGAGGCTTAGGAAGAAGCCTAGAGCCATACCAAGCGAGTACCAATTCTGATTTGGTACAAAGCCAATGATGATATCCGGCCGTGTTTCGGCCCATGACCAAGGTTTGTTTTTAGAGTACTCAGACAACCAGTCCAGCATGGGGTAGTAGAACAGGGTTGCGGACTCCGGCTCGCCAAGCTTCACCCCATCCTCGTGGAACGGAGGAACAAGGTAGTCGGGACGGTTGCGCAAGAGGTGGCAACCGTATGTCTTTGCACCCGTCTGGTTGACCACAAATTCTAAATCAGGGCAGAGCTTGTCACTCGCAATAATGGCTCGCTTAAACATGTCAACATTCTCTCGAACCTCTTGAGGGTTATCTGTGTTGGCCTTATACGCTACCCAGAGGCCAATATTAGAATAAGATCATTGAATAGACCAAGCCAGATGTTACTCACCAAGGTAAAATATATGTGTGACCTTCTCGATACCCGGAATACTGCCTAGCTTTGAATCCAGGGTCTCCTGGGTTCCTTCCAAGAGATCAATCCCGGAACTTATAACCAGTCGATCGTCTTTTGGCCAGAATGCCTTCTCAGCACTCAAAGGACGATTGGTTAGAGCATGGACACCGCCCCAAATGCCTTTTTTGGGATAGTCATTTAGTATTTCATTGACAAATGCCCAACCAGTAACACCACTGGCACCAAAAATCAGAGCAACCTTGGAAGGCATCTTGTCGGCAGAACGAAAGAAATAAACTCGGTGAAAATTTTAATATTCTTATGCACCACATCGCTGAGAATCATATATCAGTCGGCTGTATTTATGTCCCTGTGCTTTCTATTATCGTGAGCAACTTGGTCCCCGCATGTAACCGGGGTTGGTTTTCCGGGAGCCAAGGCAGCGACAGAGATCCTCGTTATCCGGATCTCTAGCGCATGGACGGGATTACACACCATCTCGGCAAACGAAATGCGAGATCTTCACTGAGTGGAACTATGACTCTCTTGTAGTAGAAGGACCAACCGTCTACCAACAATGGGCTTGAGTAGTGGGTAGCCCGTAGACAAGGCAGTCTTCCTCTTCAGATTATACGCAAGAATCCACCGCGCCGGATGTGCAAGATCCTAGGTCCTTAATAAATTCTAAATGCTGGCTTCTCGGTTCAGGCTACAACCAGCAAAGCAGGTCGTCCAAAGTATCTGCTCGCCGTCACACAGGTGTCCAACAATTGAGTGATACCCACTGTGATAAAAATGCACTCCCTTACGATACTACCTAGCTACTTTCGAGTTATGGTATATAATGGATCACTTCTTGTGGTCTTAGGCTTATCATTACCTCCATGGCCAGTCGTTACCGGGAATTAATACTTGCGCAGTCTATATGCACAGATAGTATGAGTCTTGTTACCCTCAGTGCTCTCGCAACGCAACACAAGGCACCTGCTTTGTCAATCGGCGGGTCTAGTCATTTGCATAATGGTCTTTTCCATTGATCTTCGCCATTTCCTGTCGCTCATTCAATTCAGCTCGTCCGTTCGCGTCATGGGCTCTATCGTACTGGAGATTATTATCCTACCCTCGACAATCACAAAGCAGCCATTGCCAACAAACAAACGCAGTATCGTATCCTATTAGATTCAAGTCGGCTCCTCAAATTGGCTTTGGTCTCTATCTATTCCTCACCTTCATCTCATTTCTCGGATTCTCAAAGTTTTACGTTACTGAAATTCATGCCTATATTAGAGGTCTCTCTTGTCATTGTATTCCGTGTCAAGTAAACACGGCCAGCATCTTCAGCCAGGTTCTTCCAATTCATGCGACAGATACGTTTGGAACATTCAGTTTTCAATTACCTTCCATATCATCCGATGTTTCTTTGTAATTGCCTAAATACCCACCAGCTCGCCCGGCTCGTACGGGTTCCTTTTTGCATGCTTTGGTCTCAGCTCCACCAAATGCTATCGCAAGTTGACAGCTAATTTTGGCTAGCTGGGTAGCTACGTAGGTGTAGGCTTTCTGGCCTTGGCATTTCATTCACTCCTTGGTAGCCTTCCTACCACGCCATTGCTCAGTCTTCTAGCTATGATGGCTATGGTAGGGCCAAAGTCTACGAAAGTTTGGTGCTTATCGCTCGTTCCATAGTGATGGCTGCAGCGAGACTCTGAGAGACTGGGCCTCATTTTGCATGCAAAGTTTGAAATATGCCATCCAGAGTACTACTCTTGGCGACACAGGAAGAAAACCACAGGCAAAAGCTAAGTATTTACTTGATGACGTATAGCGCAAGTGATGCTTGGAATGTTCCATCCAATACCGATTCAGATTAGAGCAGGATATCAAGTTGGGGTCCATCGAGTTACAAGAACAACCGGATAACAGTCTCTCCAAGCTTAAACGACCTCACGCTCGATTTGCTGAGGACCTCCCTTGACAGCAGTGTCCCTGTCCCCGAAATGAATCTGCTTTTCGACGGCCGCAACTGTCTTCTGGTTGAGGGCATCGTCCTCGAAGACTGGAAGATATATATGTCAGGTAACGAACTGGTAAATAGTATACAATCATGATAAAACTTACGGAAGGCCAGCTCCTCAAGCGTGCGGTTGGAAGTTTCGGGATACAGCAGGTAAACGATAAAGAACCTAGTCAATGTATAAGCAGACTGTTGCCTGGGGGTAGGAGTTCCAAAGCTTACTCGAAGCAGATCCAGCCGCAATAAATTGCAAGATACTTCCACTTGATGGCATTCAGAGCGATGGAGTTGACGTTGGTGGAAAAGAATCCCGCCAACTTGCCGAAGATTTGCTGGACACCGATACCGCGGCTTCGCTGGGCGTATGGCCACAGTTCAACCAAGTAGGCTAGAGATAGTCAGTAAGATAGTACTTGAGTAAAATTTCATTAGACATACTGTATGTGAGAGCATTGTTGCCGATGTTGTAGGTGGGAGAATAGGCATAGTAGAAGAACAGAGCGGCAATACCAGCAGCCGTGTTTTTCCCGCCAGCCGCCAGTGACGCCTGCATTCTCTCAAGTGAAACCGTCATTCCTATAAACATTGCGAGCATGGATGCCGCAGAGAGCATGTACATCTTTCGACGAGGGAATCGAGGGACGATAAGCGCAATGATCGTGGCGTTGAGCAAGCCCCAGCAGGCGTTGGCGAGGTTGAGCTGCGTCTTGACGAGAGCCTTGGTGTAACCCATCAGACCGAAAAGAACTCCAGAGTAGTAACTGAGAAGGGTATTGCCGGACAGCTGAGTAAACAAGCCGATGAAGACGGTGACCAGAACACGACGGCGCATACCGCTGGTGCGGAGTAGCTCCATCCAGGACTGCTTGGAAGCCTCCACTTCAGTTCGAATAGTCTCGCGAATCTGGACGATCTCGGCTTTGACGAGCTCCGAGTCAGCGTCGCCCTCGGCATGGTACTTGATGAGGATATTGGCAGCATCTTCGTCTCTGTCGTGCCAAACCAGAAAACGTGGAGATTCAGGGAGAAGGCTATTGAAGCAGGATTAGCAAACCAGTTCCCCAAAACCACATCCAAGAACTTTCGACGCGAATCAGCTTACAAAACGGTCACAATCTGCAAAAGCGAGGGGCAGATTTGAAGAAGAGAAGGAAGGCGCCAGGCCCAGTCGCTTTTCATATCTGTTGTACCAATCGCAATCGCAGAAGCAAGAATCTGGCCGATAAAGTAGGAAGAGTTGAACAGCGATGTCAGGATAGCTCGTTCCTTAGGGTGGCCCAGCTCTCCAATGAGGGCCGCACCCGAAATGATGCAAAACAGGATACCCATGCCGAGAATCATTCGGGCAATGATATACATGGCGACTATGATAACCATTAGCAAATGCCAGTGGTGGACCCAAGGTTAAAAAAACGACGTACTATGCTGGGCAAACCCTTGAAGTAGAGAGCCAAAAATCATGATGAGTGATCCCAGCATGATGGACCACCGGCGTCCGTATCGTTGGGCGAACCATGGTGCAATTGGTACCGCAAAGATAGAACCAAGCTGGTACGACGAGTTGACGAAGCCGAGCATGCCCGGCTCGATAGCGTATTCGGGCTCTCCCTCACTATTAATAATCTGACGGCCACCTCCGAGGTCTAAAGAGAAGAGAATCTGTCAATCATTGCTCAGCAAGAGGGCAGCCGGTTGTCCGTACACTGGTGGAAAGTCTGTGCGAATTGCAGCGTGTTGATGAGCTGAGAATCGAAACCAGAGGTCATCTCAACGCCCATGCAGCACAGAAACAGCCACACGTACATGAGGCGCAGGTTCCGTTTCTTATACCATGGCACCTTGTCCTCCTCGACGAGGCGGGTGACGATGGGGTCGGCTGCCGTGCCAACGTTGACCATCGTGGCGGTTGCGGGAGGAGAGGCTTGCTAGCAAAGTGAAGAGGCACGAGGTCCCAAAATAAACCGAGATCTCTCTCGGGGAGTTGATATGCGAGAGATAGCAAGCTTGGGAGTCGGTGAGGAAATTATCAGAGGGGGTTTAAGTAGGTGGCATCGCCGCTGGGATATATAAGCCGGCCACTCAACTGGCCAATTCCGCGGGGACGCCTCTTGCGGTTATAATGAACCCCTGTAGAAACGTGCAACCAGGAGGAAAGATACATATTCTCCACCTTACAAACCATTACCTCCCAACCTCAGAGGGTGGGGGTTCACGTGGTGTGTGACAGACCTTTCACAGTCTCAGCAAGTGGCAAGCAACGATGTTCCATCCGGATGCCAATTTGAGTCCGGGGGGAATGGTGTCCTAGAAGCTAATTTGTGGGTAACCCCAGACGAGGAGCCGGGGTGTGGTTACGAGAACTGCCAAGGGACCGAGGGGCGGCTAAGAGGGCCGCAGAAATCAGTCTAGGGGCCGGTTATACGGCCCGGTTAAATGTCGAGCGGGTGGTTATGAAGGCTGGAGAGCGAATAAAGTAAGTCTTACCAAACTAACCCCTACTGACCGAGAACATGGAGCCAAACAAGAGAGATGCCATGCCAGAAAAGGGGGGGCTATCTCCCCGTTTGGCTTAGATTTGTTGATCAAAGACTAGATGTCCCGACAGGTTGAAATGAAGGTTGCTGAGCTTTTTGCCTGTTTGATAAGCAAAAGGGCCGTTTAGAATATCCAGCACACGACGGCCAAATTATGGTCTCGGGATGATGTGGGAGAGGATGCGGGGGAGATTCCGCCAACTCCGCAAAATATCAGTATCCCCAGTTAGGCGGCCACCACTCAACTTTAAAAGCCCAGTCAACAGGATTGATCTTCTTGGAGCTTATTGGCCTGCTACACGCACCTTGTTTGAGGGTGCTTTTTGAACTACTTTCGGGGAAGCGCGTACGCATAAATCTGGGGACGGGCGATCAGGCTCAATTATGCTCCTGACGTCAGGGTTTAAGTAACTGTGCAACTTTAGGACTTTTGCATAATGGTTGAGACTTCCAGTATCAGTACAGAGTGTTGACTTATCCGTACCTGTCGGGAACATTTCATATTACCTATTCCTTGTCAGCCTTCTTGGCCATACAAAGCCCAGCGTGGCGTTTCTCGTCGCTCAATTGGCCATGCTTAAACACCAGAAAACTCTGCCTAATCACTTGAGAAAGAACCAAGAGGGATCAGGTGACAGACGCAGAGAGGGTTTCTACACAGGATGCGGGGCGGGGACCAGGTGGCCATCAACTGGGGCCCCCGACGGAGAAAAGGTAGACTGGCCAGGGCTATCGGAGTGAGAGCCTCATTTGGCCGTTTCTTACAGTGAGAAAACATTCGGCGGTCTGGCTATATCGAGTAAATTCTGTATGTAATAATTACATTACTCTTCACCGCCGACTGTAGCCCGCCATTCCAAGACTGCTCTAAAATTCATCATAGCCGGATATTAAATTGTATGGCCCGACCCCGTGGGATTCATGGTAGCAGATGAGGAGTCAGCCCACGCCGTCGGAAGATGCCAGTCCGCCCCCTGGCTCTGCTTCGATCTGACGCCTGGAATCAGCTTGTCTTGATCGGGAAGTAAGGTTGATAGCTTTCCCCGGTGGACTTATCTCCGTTTAAGGCTTTGCCCCTGCCAAACCTTGAGTTGCTAGGTAGCACCAGCTGAACTTTCCACGGTGCCCATCTAGTCAACCCACCTCCTGTGTCAATACCTTTTCGACGTCAATGTGATCGCACCCGAGGCAAAAGTCCTCAGGCAAAAATTATGGAGGAAACTACCAAATTATATCTTAAGAATCCGGTCATACTCCCCCCCCCTAGGGCTGCTCTTTGGAATTTGATGAAATGTCAGATCACGAGAGAACTTGGTCCACTTGATACAACCTGTGTCATGCTGCAACTTAAAAAGGAGGCTCTGCTGCAGAGCAACGAAGAGAGCATAGTATGGAGAAAGATTTGATCTGGATCAGAGGCCATCCGTGTGGGGCAGGGACCAAACGGCCATCTTCATCCCCATCCTCGATTTGCTGGTAGGCGCCGGGATGTCACGCAAGCGCATGTCAAATTAAGAACACGAGGTGGAGCACAGTGCCGCCGGAAACCACCATCAGTTGATGAAATGTATTTTCTTTCGGCTCATTTCACTGTGTTGATAAATACAGCCGCATTCTCCCTGTTTCCCACTGCCATTCTTGGGATATTCAGTGAATTCTCCCCGACGCAAGAATCCAACTTGTCATGATTACCAGGTTGCGCCAAGCGACGTGTCCGACCACATACTTCCAGCATGCTCTCCCCTCCCCCCCATCGCTTATATTCTGGACCATCCAACCCCTTTGTCCCTTTTTGCTATTGGGTCCAACATCCCAAGTCAGTACGTAGGGCGGAAAGGTGGATGACCCCAGATTCTTCCTGCCGCTGGGTCCCAGCCCATTGGTTCCTGTCGTCCATCAAAGTCACACGGAAGCATATAGTGACGAAAACCGGGGTACATACCGTTCCGGCTCTATTTCCCCCGAGTAAGGCCGGTTTGTCACGAGTGGTTACCAAATGCTTACCCTTGGCCAAGTCTCGAACGAGTTGGCAAGGTTGGCCACTGGTAAGGGTGGCAACATTGCTGACCATCACACTTGGTCAAACGTAAATCTTTCCATGAGCATGTTGACTGGTTGCTATGGTGCCGAGATAAGGTTGTTCGTGTTATGACAGCCATACATTGAAGGTTCCAGCATGGGAAGTCAACCATATCCGTTACGCAGCTAGATAGCGCAATGCGATCAACGTGCGAATCAGGCAAATTAAGGGCATTTCAATGCACAACTTTCAATCGAATCAAAATTGCATCCTATGGGACAATATGTGGAAAGTACCAGGCCTCCCCTCGTTGAGCTGACCGTGGGGATGCCACTACAGAGGCCGCATCCGGATCTAAGTATCCTTTTTCAAGAACGTAGTAGTATATAAATATAGACGAGGGCTTATCAAAATTTCTTTTCTAATCGCAGTAAATCCTCTCCTTGCTAACCTACGTTTCATTCTCTCTATGTTGCTTAGTTTATTTCTGCAGGGGAGCCAGGAACACATCGCCTTCTTCCACACCCGAGTCCACCTACCCTACAGAAGGCAATCATCGCAGGATATCTAACGCGCCTTCTCACATTTTGAGTGATCCAACATTTAATTAATTGAATAAGGCTACTTTAGGCTACAGCGAATTTGAGAAATCTTCAACTGCGATTTTACAAACGATATGTGATGTTATGGGGGCAAGTATTCGGTGTACTCCTCCTTCTTAGTCTCTTGTTTTTTGCCGGCAGATTCAATTTCGCGACTAGGGTATCGCCAAACAAACAAGCGCACTACGAATGCCCTACTCGAGCTTGATGAGCCAAATGGGAGATATTTATTCTCATTCATATCTGCTTAGACCGCCCAGCGAGCAATTCGTTCGTCGGAAGGCAGTGTTTTTAAAAACGCGCCCGTATATATACTTTATTTGGACACCGCCTCACATGGTCGCTTAACTCAGTTGGTTAGAGTGCCGTACTAATATATCTACCCGATATCCTAGTAATGCGGACGTCGCCAGTTCGATCCTGGTAGTGACCATCCCTTTTGCTTTTTGTGGGTTCATTTGAGGGTTTTCCCGGTTTGATCCCACACGGAACTTGCCGTTTGTCATGTACCTACTTTTTGCCTACCCTGTATGTGTCCACGAGTTGATGGACAGATTGTTTTGACCAAGAACAAACATTGTCGCAAGATCGTTTTGCGCGCTGGCTCTAGCAAGTTCATCCTTCACAGTTCACAGTGCAAAGCGCGCGGAGTTAAAATGTAAGATATTAGGATCATTCGCAATGCGTATCTCTCTCCAGGGTATTTGCGTTTCCACAGCTCGGACATGGACTCTATGCACAAAAATCTAGCGACAAAACCAAGAAATCACGACTGCCCGTTGCCTTTTATAATGCAAGAAAAACAAAAAGGGACGCGACGCATGGTTCCCATACCCGCGCACTCCATGTGCGCCTAACAATGCTCTATCAACGCTCTGAAAGGAAATGCATACGCCCCCCCGCCGCCGCTCAAATGGTCTCGTAGTGTACCGTCGTCTCGACCGTGATGTGGACTCGTATCTTCAGCTGGGACCGGTCCGCGTTGGTGAGCGCGAGCCACTTCCCGCGCTCGCCGGCGAGCTGCTCCTCGGACCAGGCGCCGCAGGAGGCGATGTACAGCGTGGGCTTGTCGTCAGACGGGTGGTAGATGAGCTGCATGGCGGTGGGGGAGACGAGGTCGAGCATGTCGATGACCTCGCCCGTGCCCGTCTCGGGGTCGACGTCGACGCGCCACAGGTTGCCCAGGACGTAGCTGCTGATGTAGCAGGCGCTGCCGTCCTGGAGGACCACGAGCCCGTCGTTGTGCGGGCAGCCCTCCGCCACGATGGTCGACGGCCCCGTCACCTTGATGTCGGCCCCGTCGTTGATGTACTCGATGGGCGCGCGGTATAACCTGGCCTGGCTCGTGTTGGTGTACCACAGATAGCCGGCGGCTACCTGGATTCGGTTCATGCAAAAGGCCTCCTCCGTGGTGAGGGGCAGCGTGGTGTCGGGGTCGTGGAAGAGGATGCTGGGCTCGCCGGTGGAGATCTGTATGCGCCAGACGGTGCCTTTCGTTGTGTCGGCGACGAGGAGGACGTCGTCTGATAATTGGATCATGCCGAACCCGAAGATGACGTCGGGCAGCGCGGTGATCTTGGTTAAGGATGGGGGGTCGTCCTGGCCATCGGGGCCAAACGATAGACGCCAGATGCACACGTCGCGGATCGCTTTACGCGGTACGTCCACGTGGGCTGTTATTACGGCATATTCCTCGTTCTCTGTGCCGCGCAGGCGGGTGACGTTGACTGCCGAGGTGCAGTCGGGGAAGACTTGTACGATCCTGGGCGGCTTCCCTCTGGAGAAGGGGTCCTCGGGGTTGAACCGCAGGTCGATGGTGTAGAGGTGTGGGTTCTCGATGGCTGCTGCCAGGGCGTGCCCAGAGGGTCTGATGGAGATGCCGTCTGTCCAGATCTCTGGGCCGAGCTGGTCGATGAGGATGATGTCATCCAGGAAGGGGTCATCGATGTCCCTCCCACAGCCTGATCCAACCTTTTGCTGCTCCATTGAGGGTGTTTTCGATGCGTGCTACGTCGCCGTCGCTGGGCGGTTGGTGGTGATGGGCGAGGTCGGTGGTGGGAGCTGGATGGACGGACTTGCGAGACCAGCCGGTTGTCAGGACGCACATTTGAATAAGAATGTTTGCGATGGAGCGGAGATGGATCGGTGGTTCATACATATTTGCGCGTGGCCGTGCTACATGGAACGGTCGTTGCCCGTTTGCGGTATGGCGCTGCCACCTCGTTGTCCAGGGTTTGGGTTTCTTGGCGAGCTGAAGCCCTGGATCGTGCGACTCTGATGATCCTTCACCGCTAAGCGGCCGACGCTAGTGAGCCGTCCCTCGCTCCGTCTGAACGTGGGCGAGAGTGCTGAGTGGACGGAGATGGATGGTCGAGGTCGTTTGGCTGGAACCCGACCCCGAGAACCACCGGGGGGCCACCCCCATCATCGCCATAATTACGGCTTGGGCCTCGACTTCCGCGACCCCTCCCCTGCCGTCCCTCTGCTCCCCCTGCGAGCGAGCACGAACACGTACGTGGGTATTCCCGCCCAAGACACATGGACTTTGTTGGAGTTAAGGTAAGGTGAGACTGCCGATGGCGAGGGCGACGGCGCGAGCCTTGGCCATGGTGGGGTTGCTGACACTGTGACACTGCGGGGAGAAGAGGGCTAATGCGGTTTATCGGTGGCCATGAGAGACCAGCGCGCTCTGGGACTGATTGGTTTGGAGTTGCAAGATCACCGAGGCGCGGGGGGGGGAGAGGCAACCAGCCCGTTGTCGGGTAAATGTCGATCAAACCCAGCGAAATTGACGCCAGTAACCAGGCCGGGACAGAATGCTTATCATGCCGGGATAGTAGCCTACCTGTACGTAGCAACTCAAGTCAAGCTTGAAGCAAATGCCCGGTTATCGTCCCCCCTGGTCATTGTTCTGTGCTTGCACCGTGACGGGACAGACTCTTGTTGTCTCGTCGGTGCTGTCTGCACGGCATCCCTGCTCATCAGGTGCGAACTAAAATCATGCTTTCTCTCTAGCCCGATCCCTCGTCCCCTCACCTGAGTGGAAACTGCTCAAAGCGCCGAGACAGGAATGCCGAGTGATGGGTATGTTAGGTATGCAGCACACCCCTTTCCAAGCACCAACACCATCTCCCGTATCTCAGTGGCTGCCGCATCCGGTGCTTGGACCAGCGATCCTCAAATACCCGATGCGGGGCGTGTCAACTAAAAACAGGTGCCGTCAATTTGTCAAACTCTCATTTGCTCCCACGTATGAGCTCTGACGCGCGATGCCCTCGATCGAGGCTGTGTTGGCATTTCGCCAAAGCCACCTGCTGGCACTTGCTCCCCGTCAACCTGCTGGCATGTCCTTCCGGGATTCGGAGAGCTTATCCACGGGCACGTCAGCGCCGTGGGCCTGCTGCAGATCGAGGGCCACGGGCCGTTGGTTCAGGTATGTGTTTCGGACGGTGGGCATGGGTTGGGTGGAATTTACCTGGCTTCCAGGCTCGAGGCAGTGGCAGTGTAACCCCTCCCCGTTTTGACAAATTGACAGGTTTTTTTTTTTAACATTGCAGGACCCTGACCCCACGAAATGGCAGATCATTGCGGTATTCATAGACCCCCGTGACGGGGAGTGGGATGGGTGAGGATGGAGGCCACGGGTGGACGGAACATTTGGTGCTACCTTTCTCCAGAAAAGGGTTTGCGTTCATCATGTCTCTTCTCTCAGTCTCAGTCTCTCACCTCTCAGTCTCAGTCTTTGGGTGGGAGCTTTGAATGACGTACCCAAAAAAAGTTAAATTAAATTGCTGATGACATTCATGGTTGTGAACCAACTGTAGAAGGTCTACATGCAGCCCACCGGCACGTATCGGCCAACAGGACACGAATCCTTGGGACAATCACCCTTCGCCTCCTCGCTTCGCGCTGCGAGGAAGTGAAGAAGCCGGAGGTAAGTCATTGGTCGATCGAACAAGTCTCGACTAGCTCGACCGACGCCCTGGGGAACGAAAGCCCCGTGATAGGTGGCGCCCGTCGCCCGTCAAGTTTCATCTTGACCCAAGACCATGGTTGCAGGGATGAAGGTGGCATCCTACCTTGCCTGCTTAGGGGACCGGGTAGGGCCCCCAACAGTGTCACATCGGTAGCCGCGGGAGAAGAAAAGTTGATTTCCGGCAGCGTGAGATGGACTGCGGCGAACCTAGTCAAGCTCGTTGATGCGACCTTGTGCTAAACCCGAGTTCGTAAAATGTTTCGCTTGTTTCAACTTGGGCTCAGCGAAGGTGGGTTGGGTAGAATTGGATGTAACCTGACCGACGCTCACAATATGGCGACATGGTATCGCGAGGTCAGCTGCCACCCGGAGTCATAGGTTGGTCCTTGCCAGCTGACTATCGGCAGTGCTCCTGTCGGTGAGATCGTCTTCTCTCAAACGAACACCTGGCAACAGCCAAGGCTGCTTGGCTACCTAACGCCCGCATGTTGCTTCGATCCGCCCTGGTCTGTCTCCTGTCCCGTTACAAGAACGGTTGTTGGTTCTTAGCGTCTTATCCTCGACGGGGAGTCATCTTTCCTCACCGGAGATGAGATAAGCTGAGCGTGGAGACTGTCTCCTCAGAATCTAATCTAAACTCAGAGAGCGTTTATCTCTGTCTGGCACTGGCACGGACACGTAATGAAAGATGTGGTGACGGCTGTATTATTATAATAAACACCTTTGCTTTCAGAGAAAGCTCTAACTAAGATACACTATAACCATCTTCCATCCGACCGAATCACTGGCGAGGACAAAGACGACCAGTCTGCTTGGTGACATACTTGTTCTGGTCAGTGATGTACCACCCTTCACTGCCGACAGCAGTAGGGGCCCAGAACACATCCCGAGGGTCGACCTTCTTCTTGATCTGGAGCAGGCGCTCGTAGTGGTCTCCATAGAAGGTCTTCTGGAAGTCTGGGTCCATGACATCACCCTCGTTGAGGTAACCTCCGCCGTTGGGGCTGACATCCTTGATGCGCTTGTTGAGATCGTTGGTGAGCTTGTCGTTGAGAACGTCGACCTGGTCCTGGGTGGTGTTCTCGTCCCAGGTGACGCCGATGATGGTGAACATCATCAGGTCGCGCCAGGCAGGGTTGGCAGCGCTGTCGGCCGTGTTTGGCTGCACGTCGGCCTTCATGTTGTAGTGGACCAGGAAGGCGCCCTCCTCGACGACGGAGCGGATGGTCTGGATGGTCTTGTTGCGGATCTCAGGCTCCTCCCAGTTCTCGCGGGGCAGGAGACGGTTCGCGGTACGGGCGTAGGGGCTGCCGGTCCTCTCGATGGGGAAGTGGTTGCTCCAGGCGTCGTAGAAGCTCTCGTGCTCGAAGAACTTGGGCTTGGGGTCGACGCCGATGGCGGCCCACTCGTCGAGGAGAGGCTGGACGAGCTTCTTGAAGTCGACGAGCTTCATGCCGGGGATCATCCAGGGGAGGCCGCGCCAGGCGTAGCCACCGGTGGGGAGAGCTGACATGCGGCAGTATCCGTAGCTGTTGGCCTCGAGGTACTCGGAGTAGCGGGACCAGTAGGCCTCGATGGCGCGCCAGAACTGGTCGTCAGTGACGTTCATGGCGACGGTGGTGGTGTCCCAGGTCATGCCGGACATGACCTTCTTCTCATGGACCTTGACGGTCATGGAGGTGACGACGCCCCAGGTGGCGCCACCACCACCGCGGATGGCCCAGAACAGGTCCTGGTTCTGGGTCTCATCAGCAGTAATGAAACGTCCATCGGGAGTGACGAGGTCGACGCTGAGAACCTGGTCGGAGCCGAGACCGTGAATGGAGGAGATGGGAGAGTGACCACCGCCGGCGAGGTAACCACCAGAGACACCCACAGTCTATTGATGATTTTGTCAGTTAAGTGAATTCAGCCATGCCATCGAGTGAATGAAACCTACACGGCACTCGCCACCAACGGCAAGGTATCCCTCGCGCTCAGCAGCCTCGTACAGCTCGTAGACCATAACACCAGCACCCAGCTTGAAAGCAGGCCCGGTGTAGCGGCCACCAGCCGACTTGTAGTTCTTGATGAGCTTGATGTCGCGCAGGTGATGGGTCCAGAGAGACAGAGCACCTCGTCCCGTGTTCTTGCCGAGGAAGTCATGGCCAGTGTTGTGAACAACAAGGCGAAGGTTGAGCGCGCGGGCAAAGTTGATGCCCAGCTGGATCTGGGAGACGGAGCTGATGTTGACGGAGTACTCGGAGTATCCGCCAATGGTGCACTCCTTTCCACGAGCAGCATCGGCGGGCTGGCAGGTGGCGTTCTCATAGAGGGGGGACATGACCGAAGTAGGGTCATCAACACTGGGAGTATGATGTGTTAGCTGCCTGCGCCATCAATTTACGTTGCGTGATGATACTCACTGAGCATAAGAGCGGTTCCAGTTGTTCAGCAGATAGGTACACTTGGCGGAATCATAGTGCTCGCCCTGGTAGCAGGCCGCACCGAGAGGCACCGTCTTGATCAGGGCACCGCCGGTGAGGATGTCAAAGATCTTCCAGAGCGCCTTGCTGGGGTAAGCAGCATCGCCAGGCAGGACCTTGCACTTGGGCTCATAGAGAGCTCGCTTCTCGGCACTGTTGACCTCATCATCGAAGTAGAAGAGCGAGATGTTGCTCAGCTGCAGGTCAGTGAGGTTGGCCAAGGTAGCCTCAGTGAGCTGCTTGCTCTCGAAGCCCTCGTAGCCAGAGACGGTCTCAACGGGAGGCTCGACGTTGGATTCGTCCGCCTCTGCAGGTCAAATTAGCCAAGACTGCACAAGTACCGAAGGAGGGTGGCATGCAGGAAGGAAAAAGGAATATGCCAGCTGACGACATCCAAACGTGGCCGTGCGGCGTGGGGGGTTGATGACATACGAACTGTCTGGCCGTCGACTTTGATGGTCTGGGCCGAGGCCGTGGCCATGAGCGAGCATGTCGCCACGATTAATTGCTGCACACGCATGGTGACAGACTCCTTCCTTGTCGAATAAGTGACAAATACCCCAGCAGAGAAGGCGAGAGGGCACACTGAAACAGACGAGCTTGAGGATCAGAATGACGACGAACAGGCGAGAACCCAGAGACTTATGAAGGGTCTCACTTCACACGTGGTGGGCTCAAGCTACTGACTGACCCGCAGCTTTTGGTGGGAACCAGGCCCCTGGGATTGGGATTGATCTAACCAGGAGATTGGCGAGGGCGCGCGTTTGGAGATTGAACGGGCGGTAGTCTGTCCCAGGAGGGCCAATTTGAGCTTCGCCTGCTTACCAACCCCGGATTTATCACGGCCGTGTTGATACCGTCGACACGGGTCACTGGCCTCTGGTCTCCAGTGTTGAAGATGGTTGATATGCCTTGTTGTACGTACATCAGCTCTACCCGCTTGGTTTGATTTGGCCTGCAGACTATGAGAATGGCCCTGGCGTGATCCTTACAAGTTACCAGACAGATAACGCAGGGGCTTGCGCCATATGGTCCCTCTTCATCTGCTATTGCGAGCTTCACAGGGTCTTCTCCCGTGGTGAAAAACGGGGCGGTTGATCATCTAAGGCACGAAATCCAAGGGAAGATCTTGCTCAACCGAGCGTTCAACCTATTGGGGATGATATGATCGCCAGTTCAAGCTCAGACAATCATGTTAGTACAAAGTCATGAAGTCCTGCGATCCCAAAGGTGCACGAGTCGCTGCAATCTTCAGCCTGCATTGTCGGAAGAGCTCTCCCGACGCTCGGCTACATGAATCCCCATCGCTCGAGTCATTTGGCTAAACTTCATGCGGCAGGCAACTCATCCTGCTCTCCTCCGTCGCCTAAGACGACCAGATCAGTATGGTGAGCCGACAAGGGTGCTTCAGCTTCAAGCAAACTAGCCTGTTCGTCTGTACTAGCCACGCATGGGTGACCTCTAGTGCTCGTAAAATTCTGACCTGGGGCTGAATGATAGAGAAAAGATCGGCAAAGACAAGGAAAGCTGCCCCTCTTGAGACCTTTACGTGCTTCACTGTGTCTGAATAGTACATATATTCATGCATTTGTGCATCTGCATGGCCAACACCTCAACGGTGACTCGTAAGGCGGGAATCACGATGCCTTGTTTCATGTAGATTAGCCAAGCAGGATATTTACTCCGTCTCCCGCGAACTAGGACCTGTCATCTGAAGGCTCCCGAGCTCGTCTGCCCTAAAATAAATCCCTTCCGCACCGGACTCCGATTCAGCTCCTGGGTTCAGCTCCGTCGTCAGTGGCGTACTCCTCCGCGAAATCAAATACGGGAATGATCACCGGCAACTTCTTTAGCTCAGTGGGACCTTTGAGTATTTGGAAAAGATCGTCATGATGCCTTCCCCTCTGTGGAGACAAACGACAACTGAGGCGGCCATGATGGCGTTGTCCTCCTCATCTGATTGACCCAAGGCTCGAAAAGCACGCAGTTTTACTAGGGTCTGGCATTCTACGTCCGGATCACATTCCGCGCATCAATCGTGCATCCATATTAACTGACCCCCTTGATGGTTGCCCGTCCGGCATTTGCATTCTTGTATCAGCATCTGTATCTCCTACCAGGGTTATGTCACCGCGCTGCACTTCAATCTTCCAGCATGAATGGCAACCCTGAAAACGGTCTCTCTCTCCGTCCCTCCCATGCCAGATTGACAAGCGGTGTCTATCGAGGCGCCATACAGGGCTGCCGTGTAATAATCGGTTACCGATTATTAGGGTATCCACCGTTTGCCTGCCGCCATCGCCTCCATATATCTCGGAGATCAGCTAATAAGCACCAGGGGCAGCACAACTAACTGGTTTCGGCGTTAGACGTCGCAGGTTCTGCGCTTGTGAGGGCTCCCCGGATGGGACCCGACTTCGTCTCTCAGGTCCGGAGTAAGCGAGTTCATTTGGGCTCGAGCCATCAGCGCTTTATTGGCGGAGATGGAGTCATCAGCGCTCTATTGGCGGAGATGGATGGGCCACCAGGCAAGCGGAAGGGCACTTGCCGGAGCAGAATTAGCTTAAACGCTTTTCACAGTGACAGGTGTTCCTAGTTTGAGAGCAACATTATGGCTAAATTCGGGGCTTAAGCTTGATCTGTAGCGCAATGGTAAAACCGACGGGTTGCGGCCGGCATCCTGACGTGTGTGTATGTACCTGTAATCCCCCTGGATATCGCTAATGCCCGACAACGACACCCGATCTGCGTATGTACGTGCGGCAGCATGCTTGCCGAGAGCTAGGGTGGAGGATGAGGAACACCAGAGGCCTTCTATTTGTAAACAAAATGCAGCTGATCCCCCGCCTGGCTGGATTTCCCTCGTGGCGTGCTGCAAGTCTAACGCTCTCTCGGTAAGGATGTCTACGAATTAATGATCGCAGAAGGCAAATCGACCAGTGATAACGCTAAAAGCGTCCCCTCCCACACTTTCAGCCAGGCAGGCATTCGTAACGTTGCTGGAAAGAATCGAATTTCTTGCCGATCCCTCCTCTTTTCCCCAGGCACACACACACTCCTCCAACCCATGCTATCGAAATCAAACTAAAATCTTCCAAACTATCCTGCTTACAGGGTGGCTGTCACTCAAGCGCAGCGCGCGGTTAAGGGGGAGCGAGCCAGGGCGGACAAGACGAAAAGCCCGACTGCGTTACGCTATTTCGTCTCTCAGCTTCTTTGCTTTCTTTTTCTGACGGATCGCCCTAGCGAACGACAGAGTCCTCCCCTCCCCTGGTAATCGACAGATCGGCCGTTTTATGATTAATATATGATCGTCCCCCGCTCAGGCTAATTTTCATCGCCAGCCTTTCGGAATCTTTCCTGGATCTTCGGTTTGCCTAATGTTTTTCTAGGCGGTGGCGCTGGATTCTCGATTCGCGATCTGACAACGCACAACCTATTCGGAAATGGATCAGACGAATCTGTGGGAGAGGACGCCCGAGTATGGGCCAGGACCGGGCCCCTATCCCAATGTCCTCGATATTCCTACTCCCCCGCTGCAGGCCGCGGCGGTGTTCATCATGTTTGTTCTTCCTGGCATCGCGGTCATCATTTTCGCTCTGCGAGTGTATACTCGTGTCACGATGAGGACGTTGGGCGTTGGTACGTTTTTTTTTATCTGCTTTCACTATCTTCTCCCGAGTTGCTGACATCTCGCTCTAGATGATTATCTTTGTGGTTTGGCACTCGTAAGTATTGGACTTGATGTGGCGTACTGCGAAAACTCAGACACTCACACAACACTAGGTCTCGGCCATCCTTGTCTCATCAACTCTATTTATGTGTACGCAACCCTGATCAGTGTCAAGGAGGTTTTTCGGACTAACAGTGAGGGAACAGTCTTTAAGCTTAACTACTATGGATGGGAAGACGAAAAGGTCCCGGACTACGATCCGTCTGCCGGCCTATGGTGGAACTTCTTCGAGCAGCTTTGCTATAACCCCGTGCTGGCACTCGTGAAGTGTTCCATTCTTGTTTTCCTGCTTCGACTGGGAGGAATCAACGATACTGTATTCAAAGTCATCTGGGGTCTTATGATCTTCACCATCCTCCACGCCATCGCCGTCTTCTTTGGCGCGCTCTTCCAATGCGTACCGATTGCAACGAACTGGCATCCCGAGTTGAGGAAGGACCCCAATACGAGGTGTATCGACAACAGCTTTCACATTATCCAGTCCAGCATCACAATTGCCACTGATGTGGCTATCTTAGCACTGCCCTTTTGGATTTTTCTCGGTCTTCGAATGGCCAAGGGTGCAAAGATTGCCGTGCTTGGAGTGTTCCTTGTCGGTGCATTGTAAGTTGTAACTGACTACTCATTTGTTAAAATTTCATCCCGTCTAATTATTTCTTGCTCGCTAGCGTACCAATCGTTGCCATCATTCGAATCGTCAACATCTACCGACTCCTCTATCTAGGAGAGAAAACAAGGCACTACAACATCGCTTACGTCTGGACTGCCGTGGAGGTCAACCTCGCTGTCATCTCTTGTTCCATGCCCGCCCTCCGCCCACTGTTCAGCCGCTGGTACCCAAAGCTCTTCGGCACAGATTCGGGTGGCAAGTCAAACAGCACGCCCTATGACAACTCCCTCGGGCAGACGTCCAGGGCCACGGCCCAGAACAACAGGTCCAACGTCAGGGACAGCAGCCACTACGCCCTCAAGGACCTCCACCCCGCCAGAAAGCACAACCAGCATACCGAGATCCGCGGCATCTCACCGTCCGGCTCGGAGGAGGAGATTATGACCTACAACGGCATCTTGCGGACTACCAACGTCGCAGTCCAGTACGAGGATACCAAGAAGAGCGATAACGACTCACATGTGTCAAGCGATATCGCGTAAGTTTGGAGACTTGAGAGAAAATTTCCTGTGTGCTGGGTTTTGTTAACATAACGAAGGGGAGTTACGGCCGGTCATGAAAACAAGCACTCGGAAAGAGAGTTTTGAAACCACAAATGATAGATTTCCCACATATAGATACCTGATACCTACGTATATTTCTTAATCTAGACTTAAAATATCAAATGCAGAATGACGATTTGTTTCAGATTGAGTGGTGATAGGATCGGCTGGCTGCTTCGTGACGTGACGATCGATCCTGTCAGATCGGCCTGAGCCAGTCTATCGGAACTTACCAGTTGGTATGTACAGGCCTTGTCCCATCTCGGAAATGAGACCCTAGTGGGGATTCCGAAAAACGGCCGTGACTTCTCGAATAGGTCTAAAAGCCAAGAGCAGCTCTGACTCTTGGGCACGGTTTTCTCTCCTCTTCTGATGTGGCAGGCAGTTCGTAGGATCGCTCTCCACCTCTACCTTGTGGGTCAACCATGGGATGAACTCAAATTCAGGTACAGATCCGTATTCGGTTCAGCTAAGCCCGAATATCGTGTTGTGGGTTCCTGTAAGATAGCAATGTGCTTTTGATATCCTTAGGTGGGCCAATTGGGTTGCCATCGGATCTAAAACCGTCTTCTCCGACAATCATTTATAGTTTGAATCAAGACGTTCTAGAAAGTTCTCTATTTTGTTATGGGAGAGTCACGGGCCACAACTTCTCTCAAGAGCTTGGGCTAAATGAAAGAAACGCTGTTACTTGTTAGGTGTTGGTTTTCTGATTTTGGTAACAAATGTCTCCTCTGTAAACAAACTACCTGTCTCGTACAACATTGAGGCACTCTTGATGCTTGCTATGATATATTATTCATGTGCTATGAGGTGCACTTATAGACTATGATATCTATTGTCGTTAGTGCCTGTGCTTGAAATACGTATGTTGTGAACCGTGGCCTGTTTGCGATTGAGTCCGACAATCTCCGTCCCCACTAAACAGAGAAATGTAAGCTTTTTTTCTTGGCTTCAACATTACTCGATCATTCTCCCAGTAAGTTGATAACTCCGCAGTGCCGAATTATGTGTTAACGAAATGTGAGTTGCAGCATATGATAGCCAATAATCGGGGAGACACTCGTAGAGCTAGGGTAGGATAGCGTATCTTGAGGCCAACATTAACCAATTCCAGCCCTTAATAATACGTTAGTCCTGATGGATGTAGCTCATGACACCAAAGCCCAGCTGACTAAAGTGGCTGAGGCTAGTCTTGTTAGCATCTTGTTTTCCGCCTGTAGAAGGTTGAGGCGTACAGCTGAAAGCGCAAAACCCAATGAGAGAATCGAGGAAAAGCCAAAGCTTGAAATATCCCCCAATGAGGGGATTTAGTCACGTTTGTACCGTGTCACTTGCTCGGTTTGTGTCCACTATCTGGACCGTTCTAGATGAGCAGTATCCACCTCAAGCTGGAATAACAAATGCTCTTGCGACCCGTCACGTTTGAATTTAAAGGTTGAAGCCGTCTAAGTATTGATCGAAGAAGAATTTGGCTCCATAACAGCTAGATCTGGATCAAACGTGAATAAAACAACCCACGACATGATGGGTAACTTGCAAATCATACAACAGACCGATCCAGGCTACGAGGCCGCGAGGGTAGACAGGCAATTCAACATGCGAGTGCCTGATCGATTCCCACTGGGCGTCATCAAAATCACCGAAGAAGATCAAATCGTCCAAGCCGTGAAACTGGCCGCTGAGAAGGGCTGCCGGATTGCCGTGCGATCCGGAGGTCATAGCTGGGCGTCGTGGGCATTGAGAGGCAATTCCATCCTGCTTGACCTCGGCGATTTCCACGAAATGGAACTTGATGAGGAGACGGGGATTGTTCGCGTATCGGCATCGACTACTGGAGGAGAGCTATCTCCCTACCTCCGCTCAAAAGGTAGAATGTTCTGTGGTGGCCACTGTCCTGACGTGGCGTTGGGAGGCTTTTTGCTCCAAGGAGGAGTCGGTTGGAATGCTCGAGTAAGATGCACGATGGGTTGAGGTGTGAAGATGCAAATCCTCTTTATGCTAACGCGGATCAGGGCTGGGGGTGGGCATGCGAACAAGTAGTTGCCATTGATGCAGTAACCGCTGACGGCCAACTTGTACGGGCAGATGAGAGTCAGAATCCAGATCTCTACTGGGCGGCCCGGGGATCTGGACCAGGTTTCCCAGGTGTTGTCACGCGGTTCCACCTCAAAACGAGGCCTCTTTCAAAAGCTATGCGTTCCTCAACTTATGTCTATCCAGTGGAAGCATACAGAGAAGTGTTTGAATGGATTCTGCAGGTGAGTAATATTATTATCTTCGCAATCGATGATGTGCTCTGATCCTTGAAGCTTGCACCGACATTTGATATCGACACTGAAATAGTCATGATTTCATGCTACCCTCCCGGCCTGGACCAAATCTGCATCGTCGCTTCTTTTCTTAGCCTCAAGTCAAGCGAGGCCGAAGCAGAAGCGGCCCTACGAACAGCCGAGGCGTCACACCCTGAAAAACCACTCGTCCACTTGTTTTGCCAAGAAACAAGCCTGGAGCAAGAGTACATCAGCCAGCGTCATGCGAACCCCGCTGGCCATCGCTATTATTGTGACAACGCGTTTATCAACAATGATGAGGACGTGCCAACTGTTTTGGAAAAGGCACTGACATCACTGCCATCGAAAGAGGCCTATTCGTTTTATTATCCGATGAATCCCTGGAGCCGCAAGAATCTCCCAGATATGGCCATCAGCTTGCAGTGTGATCACTATATTGCCATGTACACAATATGGAAGAATAAAGAAGACGACGAGAGATGTATCACCTGGGTCAAAGATGTTATTAAGGGTATCAAACCATATTCTTGTGGTTCGTATATTGGGGACCTCGACCTTCAAAGTAGAACCACAAGGTTTTGGGGTGAGGAGCAAGGAAAAAGACTCATGGACATCCGTCGTCAACGAGACCCGAAAGGGGTCATATGCGGATACCTTGATGTAGAGGATAAATCAGGACCGAATGGTTTGGACAATCAATTGGATAGAACATGATAGGTCATCTAGATGTGTGTTTGCCATGTTGACAAGACCTATTTGGGAAATATACAGTGAATTTGCCAGTTCTGGAATGAGCCTTTAATGCTGATTCTTGTATCGCCGAAGCTCAATCTGGCTTGAAGTCCTCGAATTTAGTACACGAAAGAACTCATAGAACTATAATGCCCACAGATGAAGGATTGGTACATGGTTTTTGGTAGCGAGGCTCACATTTAACCTTTTTGCAGTGTCCATGCCCTCAATGTCTGACTTATACCGTCTAGTCCTCTGCGATTGGCACGAATCTAAGGAGGCAATTCTGACCCAGAGGCCTCGAGGAAATAATCTGGTCATGGGAAACCATGGACTCGCAAGTCGTGGCGGGGTCCGGAACCGTTGTGAACTTGACGTAGACACATCGGAGGAGAAGCTTCATCTCCAAGAACGCCAGACTAAACCAATTGTCAGTAAAGATGGCCATCGATGATCCTGCAAGTGGTGAAATGGAAAAGTAAAGAAAGAAAGATAACCGGTACGTACTGCTTGCCAACGCATCCCCTCCCACCATGAGAGAAAGAGAACATGAGCCGCCTCCTCTCAGCGTCCCCTTCCGGCTCCATCCATCGATAGGGGTTAAACCGGTCTGGGTCGGGGAATACGTCGGAATTGTGCCTGTTTACAGAGTACGCCTGGCTGCTAACGATTGTGCCTTGCGGGATGAAATACCCATCGATGGTTCTCCCGTCTTGAGGGACATGGCGAGGGAGAGACATGGGAATGGCGGGGAAGCAGCGCAGGCCTTCTTGGACGACAGCGTCAAGGAATGGAAGCTTGTCAAAGTTGGTGTCGCGGTTTGTCCGGAGCTCTTTCTGGAGGTCCTGCATAATATGGGCCGACTCTGGCTGAGATAATTGCCACATCAGAAAGCAGAGTGCATCACCAGTAGTGTCAATTCCAGCCACCATGTGATCCTGACACTCTGCGGCGATGTCAGTCACATCCAAGTCAGACCCAATCTTTTCCTGAAGTCGGCTGAGAAGAGTGAAGGGCGCTGGATCTGTCGCATTGCTCTTCTCGTTGATGAATGCGTTGGCGAGGGGCGTGGCACGCGGTTCGAGAAACAAGTCGATGATCCGGGACATGTAAGTGTAGATGACTGGATAGTGATGCTGGAGAAGTCGGCCTGTGAATGATTGTTAGCTGCTGAATGTTTCGCACGGCACAATTACCTGGCATGGATGGAGTTGGTGCTTACTTTGAAGACTGTTGTCATTGGTTGCCTGGTGCATCATGATTCGGTCCTCCTCATTCTGCAAGCAATTGCTTCCAAAAGGGTGAAATAGGTTGTGAGTAACACCGTCACATGCATACGAATGCAGTTTCATCTTGGAGGGAACAATCAGTACTCAACTGTATCACAGGGAACACTTAAACAACCACAGCAGGGGAGAACGTACATAAATATCCACGCTAGAGCCAGATGCTTCCTCACATTGGCGAGTGAATTCGAGTGCTCGGGTCTCGATGCCACTGACAGCCGCCGGCTTCACGACGTTGCTATTGGCATATCTGTCGGCGATGATGCGTTTCCTCTTTGCATGCTGTTTAACGTAAGCTGATGTCCACTGAATTAAATCTTGGGCATAGGAAACCACGGACGTCATTCTTCTCAAGCGTCGAAAACATCGTTCTAGGGCATGTTTGTCAGCTTTTGGGATTCATCTGATGCAGGGAGAGTAGATGGCTACCTGCGACCGAAGACTCGGAACATGTTATAGAACTTTGTCTTGTCGTAGCCACTGCCAAAAGATCCGTAGATCTCCTTGACTGCCTCATACGAGGTGAACGACAGCTCACCAGGCGCCAGGCGGACAACAGGGCCATACTTGAGATGCAAAGAGTGGATGTACAGAGTTCGGTTGGCCCGGAACTCGTGCCAGCGGAGAGGAGCTGAGGTGAACCGAGAGAGAGTTGTACCAGGCACCTTGGATAAGGGTGATGATAAGCATTGCCAAAGATAGACAGCCAGCCAAGCCACAGCTACGACTGGCAGAAGCGTCCACGTGAGTATCATGGTATCTTGAGTGAGAAACACGGACGGGCGTATGTGGATGAGGGGAGTTGTGAACAAGCGTCGAGGATGAAGGCGATGGGCTAAATATCTGTGACTTGGGTCCTGTCTGGCTGCAACCGAAGCATTGCGATAACGGTGTTGGAGGGGGAGAAAACTGATAAGAAACGAGGCTTATCAAACAAGTGTTTTGGCTTGGCGTCTGCGTCTTCTCCAGATTGTGCCCAAATCGGGTTACTATTTGGAGAAGGCGATGGAGCCATGCCCAATCACGTTGGCTGCATTTTTCATGAGGAGAGACGGATGCTTTTAGTTTATTAATGCGATTGTGACTGGCTCGGACAATTGATTCCCCAGCCGCCTTCACCGCAGTTGAGGATATCACCATCTCCCAGGAGCTGCCAACTTCTCTGTTTATTTATTCTCTTGTTTCTTCATCTAGCTCACGTCTCTACCATTTCCTTTCGCTCCAAGTCTCACTCTCACAATGGGCGGCAACATCTCTCTCCGCGATTCAATCCGGTGGCTGCCAGAGCCCGCCAGCGAGCCAACATCGACTCTGGTCATCACATCTCCCAAGCGCAACTTCGTCGACATCCGCGTGCTCCGTCCCGAAGGAAGCGCAAGCAGCTGGCCGACGGCAGAAGGTGAGTGGTGTCTTGTCTCTGCTGCCCGCTGAATGAAGCATGCTAATGGCGACAGAAAAAATCGCCCTGGACCGGATCGATTGGCTCATTGCCGGGACCTCTCTGTCATGGAGTCGCGAGGCCGGAAAGGTCAGTCGTGGCCAGTGGCGCCATTGGATTGACTCGCGCACCACCGACACGGCAGACCTCGCAGATGAGGGCGACATGTACCCGCAAGCTGACGGGACGACCCTTGAGGTGGGCAGGATGGAGAATCCCGAGACGGGCAAGGAGACGGACTACGAGGAGGTTTGGCGGGATCTTAACGCCTTCCCTGAGGGCCTAAATGATTCCCTTGAGGCAATTACTGTGCAAATCGACCAGGGGAACGAGGCCAAGGGGTCCGTGGTCCGGCTGGGCGGATTCTGCCAGGGTTTCCTCCGCAAGGGTGAGAGATTGTCGGCCGAGCGCTGGGTGTGGATTGATGGAGGAGTTGGCTGGAAGAGGACCATCAGTATCGGCGAGGATGAACTGCCTTGCTCGCAGGTGCTCGTGGGCAAGTCGAAATGGCACGTGGGAGACTCTGTCGTTGTTGGGGAGGACAAGTGGAAGGTCATCGAGGTGTCAGAGCACTTTAAGAATCGGTTATAGAATGGCCTGAATGGAACATGTCTGCTATCTTGTTGTCTCTTCATTACCTAGTCGACATATCTCTCCTCTGTGTCGGGTAGACCCTAGACATGCTATTCTAATATGCTACAATAAGATCCATTGATGTTTAATGCCGGCACTCCTCTGACATCCATATAATGGCAATAATCTCTTGCATTTGTTAAGGAATTCATATGTCTTCTTTCGTGTAAACAATCTGACCGAAGAGCCATTCCACTAACCGCTGTTCTGTTCTCTCATTCTACCGTCCGACGTTTCTGTCTCCGTCCATCTCTAGGCATGCCACAAGCTGCCCCTCTACTCCAATTCGTCCTCCAGGGAACGGAGAAGCTGCTTCAGTATTCCGATGGAATGATGCTCGTGTGAAAGCGACGCACGTATGCTCGCAACCCCTTCATCAACCTCCTCAAGGGCCTTGGAAATCCTACCAACACTACTTCTGACTCTCTGAGCTGTCAACGTCTGCATCTTGCACTGGGCCAAAGTGTCTCCGCCAATAGGAGTCAACCCAATAGCATCCCTAACACGTTCTGGGAAGGCCGATATCATCTGATTGTAGGCATTTCCTGCAACTTCGACATCAGACCTGATCAAACCGCCCTTAATAACTCGTAAGGCGTTCAACATCTCCTGGACGGCCTCGGATTCTATAATGAGTTTACCATCATCGAGCATACGGACGCGGGCTGGCATGATGCTGCCCATGTCTTTCTCATTCCAATTTACTTTGGATTGGACAGGTATGCATGGAGGAGCAGCTTGAAACCTTGGGGCTTCTTCTCGGCGAGAGGTTGCCATTGGTGCAATGTCTGCTTTCGATGGCCAAGCGGATCGAGCAGTGTCCAATCCACCGTTGCTGATCATTCGGCGCTTTGTTTCCTGAGCACCTGTGTGAAAGATCGGCCGCGAGGTGCCGTGTATGTTGGAAGTCTGCTTCGCCGCCGACTCTCGTTCGGCGTCTGGAGTTGGTCGGAACAAGGTGCGCTGAGGACTTTTGCTAGCCAAGCGCTTTCCACTCGGTGGCGGATAGTCTGATGAACTGCCATTGTCCTTGATGACGATCTCTCTGTGGGTTTCCTCAAAACCGAACAACTTGAACTCGTCATCTGGGCCTGAAGTCGCGGTGCGGGCAACGGTTGTCGCCTGGTCACCATCCTGTACGGTGAAAGAATAGCGCTCAGGGCAATTGTTGATGGCAAAAATGCCGCTGCAGGACTCTCGATCGTACACCAAGGCGGCCGTCTTGGCTCTCTCGAAGAGAAAATGCTCCTTGATGGCGCGGGAAGTGGCGCTTTTGGGGCCTCTCTCGAGCTTCAGAAGCAACGTGACAACCATGAGCATGCCGACTTCGGGGAACGGCAATGAAAGCTGCATCTTGGTGGCCAAAGCCTTCTCCTCGAGCCGCCTGGCACTGATGCGGTCGGGGTTCCGGACGAAACGCAGATCACCCCATGCGTGATATTTCAAGATATTGTTCTTGACACAGAGTTGGACACAGTCTTCCGTGGCCTCCGGGCAGCTGGCAGGGTTGACACCGAGGAGCAGAAGGATCGCTTCCACCAGGATGGCGATCAACTTGCGGCTCTTGGGTTCGGGCAACGGGTTGGCCCTGGCAGCCTCTATCTTTCTGTTGATGTCTTGGGAGAAAGATGTCTGGAAAAACTTGTCCAGGCTCTCCTGGATCTCGGCTGACTCGACCCATTCCATTGTTGGAACCAGTTCCGGGTGGGAACTATGGTCTTGTGCCATCGCGCCGCTGAACAGGCTTCGAGGGAAAGCTGAGCCTAGTGTGTTGAAAAAGAAGAAATGTCCTCAAATGTGGGAAAAGAGTGCAAAAGAATCAAGTCGGGATGAGGTTTCGCTCGTGATAGCCGATGATGGTGATAAGAAGCTCTGAGACCTTGGATTTTGTGTGAACACAAGTGTTTTGTGCAAGATCTAAGGATCGTGAGAATTGTGAAAAAGACCGCTTGGAACGAGGCAAAAGGAGAACAGAAGAGAAGAGAGAGTGAATTGCCCATCCAACTCTGCGTGCTTCTAAGCAAACAACTGTTGACGCGTCGTCGCGTGTGCTGTTCTCAAGTGTCACCACAAGCCGACCGCTCCGCGTTCCAGGTAGCTCCTAATGGAAACTCTTGGAGCTTGACCCCTAATGTTATGAACAATCAAGCGAAGTTTGTATGCCGTAACAGAGGCCGCAACAACTGTCTCACAGTTCCCTCCTCTTCAGACCCTTTAAGGGACTATCGCCAATATCGTTATCATTGCCCAGAGGCCTTTTCATCTGTAGTGTATTGTGGGTTCTAGAGCCATCCCTATCTGCCGATTTTGTTCACTAACGGTGGCCTCGTTGCGTTTTGCCTTATTGAAATGATGATGACTCCTCGAAGGGCTACGCGCTATCAAGTACAATCAAACAGGTCTGATTCACATGCGGGATGTGCACCTAGCCCAATTTGTTTTCTCCATGTAAATGGCAAGGTTTATTACTCTATGTCTAGCAAATCCAAAACCAGATCTTTTGAAATACTCCATTGGGAATTGGCTCAACGTCTCTCGCAGTCACCTCCTCCACTTCCTCTAGCCCGCTAAAGACATCTATTTCCTTCTCTGATCGGACCCATGGGCCCTTGTTGTAGAAAAATTTGTGCGCAAGATAGACGAAAACAAATATGGGAATCGTAATGTAGGAAGTGAGGAAGTTCGCGGTTGAGAAGTTGCCAGGGATAAAGTTGGCGAAGCCATTGGTGATACATAGAAGAACCATTCCGGCGAGCGAGATGTACGTGGAGTATGGCTGGAACGGACTTTTGAAAGGGAGACGATTCTGAATTTCATAGTATTGCACCGCCTTGCGGAAACGCTATTGATCGGTCAGATTGGTGTCATCCAGAGGACATATCAAGATACTGATGGACGGCAAAACTCCCACTTACCAGGTATGTGAATAACACAACAGACCAGCTCAACAAGCCATTGACCGTCGTGACCGTCGCCAACCAGTTGAAAACCTCGGCACCGCCACTGGAAGCATTAAGATATGCCAGCAAGCCGAGGCAGAAAGAGGCCAAGACTGCCATGTAGGGAATCCCCAACCTGTTACACCTCTTGAAAATGGCCGGCGCGTCACCATTGCACGCCATTCCGTAGAGTAATCGCGATCCGGCATATAGCATCGAATTTCCAGAGCTCCAAGCGGATGTCAGAATCACGGCATTGAGGATATGATCGAGAACTGGGATCGAGGCGTTCTCGATGGCCAGGACGAATGGACTCGCAGAGGCGTTGGACGTTCCGAGAAGGCGAGGGTCATTATACGGAACGAGGACGCCGATGACCAGGGCACCTATCACGTAGAAGAAAATAAGCCTGTAGATGTATCTGCGTGCCGCTTTGGGAATGTTTCGTCGAGGCGCCTGGCATTCTCCTGCTGTTGTTGTGATGAGCTCCGGCGACAAGATGTAGGAAAACCCGGCCTTGACCAACGCGCTCCAGACCCCAAGGAACTTCCCCTTAGGCCCCGGAACAAGATACGCACGGAACGCTCCCGGGTCTTCCCAGTATCGGAAACCAATTCGATCGTGGTCTGGCCCTCCTCCAAAAAAGAGCACAACTCCGAGGATAATCAGACCGATTATGGCCAGGATTTTGATCGAGGCAAACCAAAACTCGGTTTCTCCGAAAATTGCAACCGTAACCAGGTTCAGCAACAGAATGACTATGGAATGTAAGCTACCATCTCAAAACTTTAGACCTTACGTACCCGCGAGGACAATTGTAATCCAGACGACAGTTGGCACTGCGCTTGTCCAGTACTCGAGGACAACCGCTGCAGCTGTAGCCTCGGCTCCCGGAATCATCGTGTATGCGATCCTAGTTGGCCAGGCCATTAGAGGGATGCCCAGTGAAAGTTGGGTGGGAAATCTCCTCACCAGTAGTTCCATCCTAATAAGCAGGTTAATCAGTATGGTAAATGCCATGATTTTGATCGCTGGGTGTAAGACTGCAAGTACCTGTCGCAAAAGCCAAGCTCTTGTCCACAAATCGATCCACGAGATATGGAACGGTCAGGGATTTAATTGGCATGTAGGATGTCATTTCGGCAAGGTCAAGCATAACAATCCAAACCAGGGCTGACATAACGATGTATGATATTAACAAAGAAGCTGCCATCGCGTTAGAGAGGTAGGCTAGATCTCAATGAATGTTGGGTCATACCAGGCCCGGTTTGAGCCAGGGTTGCGCCCGAACCCACGAAAAGGCCAGTTCCAATCGTGCCACCTGAATTCCTCCTTATTAGTGAACTTCAAATATGTCGATATGATATCTTAAGACAAGTGTGAGAAGCTGGGCCATACCTAACGCAATGAGTTGGATGTGTCGACCCTTGAGGCCTCTTCGCGTCGATCCCAGTTGTTCATCGCGGCTTTCAACCCTGGTTGAGTCGGTCCAGGTGTCCGGCGATCGGAGATTTGTTTCTTCGTATTTGATATCATCTTTCATGATCGAATTGGCTACTCGCTGATACCGGGGCACGAGTGTGTCAAAAGCAGGCGCTGCGGCATTCTGACTGAGACTGGCGCGTCCACATCTAAAGTATGTCTCATGTCCCCACGTAATCCATCAAACGTCACCAGAATTTCACTAGCAGGGAGAAAGTCGCTATCCGATTGGAAAGTCGATACCCGCGTTCAAGGCGTGGCGCTGCCGCAAGCGACCATCTTCGAGAAACAAGGTTTGTTTTTCAGGGGCCCAGACCACAGTCGTAATACTTGGCTGCGGTGCTCCATTCTCCAGGGAAAGAAATTGTTGCAATTGGAAATAGACGTTTCCAAACGGCCCTTGCTCCCATTCTGCTTCAGGCATGCCATCCTTATTCAGCATGTTCGGGTCGAGCAGCTGAGACAACCGGCTGGGTCTAGGCGCGACAGCCTGCGTGGGTAGCTCTAACGGAAATCACATGCAAAGGAGTGCTTATAACTTATGACAGAAGCTTATTCCTGTGCCTATCATCGGCCATAGATGGCCAGTGGGCATTAGCTTGAACCCAATGTTCCAGCGCGACCAAAGATGTCCCTGAGGATGAGCAAGAACGAGAGAAGTCGAATATGCGCGAGGATAAACCTTAGATTTACCTGTCTGTCTCTCCGTACAAACGACATCATTTCTTCAGATCGCTCCGCAAGTAAGTACTTCCCTCAAGACATTCTCATATTTGAGTTGTGCTCCACATGCGGGACGATAAAGGGTAAAGTCTACGAGAAAACACTGTATTTTTAGCATCAGTGAATTGATGGGTCATTAATATGGGTGCTGACTGAGTAAGTAAACTCCTCTACAACAAGTGACATCAAAACAAGCGGATGGTAAGAGAATATGCCTGCTCTATTTTCAACTTTTGGTGATGCTGATGCTATCTAGAGTATGTACTGTCTAGCTGTATAATACCGGTTTGTTGCAACCCGTGCAACGGTTTTCTTACTTGTTAATGACGGAGCCGTCGCAGAACTGGGTGAAGGTGTTCAGGTTCATCAGCTTGAGAACGGTGCTGAACTTGGTGAGGTCGGCTCCCGACTTGTCCTTGGTGCAGTAGGTGTTGAGGCTGGATCCGCTAAGAATCTTGGGAGTCTCCGACTCGCCGTTGGGGTACTCGATGTGGAAGACGGGCTTTCCGGCCTTGATGAAGGGGGAGAAGTCGCCGCACTCGCCGTACTCGGAGCACTGCTCGTTAACCTGGAACTGAACGTAGGGGAGGACATCCTCGACGACGCTTCCACCGTTCTTGAGACCAACAGCAAGGCCGGCCTCCTGGGCGGCAGGGTAGAGGACGTTCTTGAAGAAGTTGACGGTGTCTTGCTCGGTCAGACCGAGGCCGTTGGAGTTGTCCTAGTTGAAATTCCGTCAATAAGAGATATAAAAAGAGTTACCTAGACGGGGGGAACTTACGTAGCCATCCATGTTGTCGGGGTCGATGGCATCGCATCCAGCTGCGGCAGCGACGGCAATACGCTGCTTCATGATAGCGGCGACGTTGTCGCTCTTGAGGTTGAGCCAGTTCTCTCCCTCCCAGCCCTCAAGCCCCTTGCCCAAGTCGCTGGACTTGAAGGACTTGGCGTCCGGACGCCAATTCTCGTATGAGCCACCGCTGAAGTAGCAGATGACCTTAACGCCAGCGTCGTGGAGGGCATCGATCTTGGAAGTGTCGACCTTGTTCAAATCGATAGTGTTTCCGGTGTTCTCGAAAAGGTCGAGGTCGAAGATCTCGGCCTTGACAGTGGAAAGCTCGACCTCGCTGTTGAGGGTGATGTCGAACTTGGCTCCAACGGCGGGCTGCCAAACGTCGCGGACGGTAGGCTTGGCGAGGGCCAGAGTGGCGCAGAGGGCGGATGCCACAGAGAGACGAAGTGCGGAAGGCATGATGATGAAGAGTAGTTCTTTTCAAAAGAGAGTGGGTAATAATAAATCACAAAAAGAGAGACAGATGATCGAGTGGTGATCGAGAAGGATGATGATGTCAAGAAAACCTACCGAAAGAGATCGAGGAACGGCGAGGTTATAACTTCCTGACATCCTTGCCCAATCTTCCTAGTCCCATATAGAAGGTGAAGGAGAGCCCAGTCGTTCTTCCCGTCGGCACCCATTCACGTGATGGGCAGGCATCTACAACATGGTTTGTGGCCATGGGTATAAGAACATAACAGAAGATGTTTCAGGGAGAAATCATCCTTCGGGTCCTGCCATCCCAACGTCCAATGGTCAGCTTTTGCCTTGAACCGTGCTCCACGTGGCTCCCGGGTCGGAACCTCTCTAGTTCAGACGGTGCCTGTCATGAGGACGTACGAGTATCCGATGCCCAAGCCTGTCGGGAAATTGGCGCACGAATCCCACGTTATCCGTCAGTGTTCCGGGGCTGTTCCACTACCAACGCCACAGGATGCACCTTTGACAGCATATAGTGCCGGTGGGGGGTGCCAATGCTTCGGTGCTTGGGGAATTTGGTATTTCCGGACCTGGACGTGACAAGGACATGGGACCGCGACAAGGCCGACAACTTCTGAGGAGTAAGATATATCCTGGTCATTCTCAAACACTCCTAAAAGTGGAACGGATGACTGAAGGTCCCCAAGCCGAAATTGAGATCCATGGCTACCCTCGCGGCCATCACCGCAAGCGGCAGTCGCTGCCCCATTGTGTGCTCGCCTGCCAGGTGCTAACAAGATGGTAATTACATACTATGTACCTAGAGTAGTATCATTCGCGCCATTGACCTGTTTCAAGTATACAACTCAATGCCTACGAAGGCAAGTCCGTCCACAACTGACAACATTTATGCTGCGGAATTGCTTAATTTAATCAGACCATTGCTTTTTCGTCTAGCTGAAATTACCAGCTGGGAAATCCGTCTGGGGCACATTTAAGCTTACAATGAATACTGGCGGGAAAAAGGCCATACATGAGACGAGCGACTTGGTGTAAATATTCTATATTTGGAACTCCAGAAGTCCCTGCCAGGCTTAACCCACTCTTTCAAATACCGAACGTCAGGGTCGGGTCACAACCTTAACGTACGACAGGATGCGCAGGTGAGCTTTCCCTCATCCCAACGTTGGGGGGAGAGCTGCGTTCCCACCGTTGAGAGACACAAATCGTATGAGGTCAATTCTTTAAAGGGGGGATTTTTATGAGAGCAGTCATACTCCCTATGCGCATACAAAACGCACGTATGGTCGCCAGAATCTCCTGCTAGAAAGGGGAAGACTTCGAAACCTAGGATGTCGTAAGCACCATCCCTTCTACGGCAGCAATTGCCCCAACCCTGGCCAGGCAACCCCCGGTGGAATATTCCGTTCGGCATTTTCATCCCTAGGGCTTGTCATGGTTTTGGACCAGCTTCCTATTCTGATTGAGCGCGGGGATCTTGAAAGATGCGACCGAGAGAACCGAATTGGTGTCTCAATGAAGACTGGACTCGCTCGCAACTCCACGTGGGTATCAATGCCGGGACCGAGAGCGGGAGTCGAACGAGAAACTGATGCCATGGAGATGGAGATCTAACCACTAGGCCAGGCTGACATGAGACCATTTCGAAACTGGTGTAAGCCACATCCTACGCTACATGTTGCCGGATTTTCAATCCCTTGACAACTAGCGTTTAGCGAAGTTTGTAGAGGCATCACATAGATGGAATGAGTGGCGGAAGTAAGAAACTTCGGACAATGCTTCTATCGAGGTAGAGTGGCGGTGCTGATTCTATGACTAACAGTTTAATTTCATGAGTCTCTGCCTTGGCGGTATAGAATATGCCGAGTCCGAAATATTGTTAGACAAGGTTGTGGCCCCTCTTCCTTCAGCGCGAAGTCATCATTTTCCGTTTTGTTTGTCCTTCACCGGTCTTTGAAACAAGTCAACACCTTGGCAAGATCTGCCAATCAACCTCGAACCCATAGCCATATTCTGAGTATATCGGTTTTTTTGTTCTGTTTGATATATGTATCATGTTCTCATTTTTGAAGGCTGAAAGTCGCAGACAGTTTTGCTATTAGATGCGGAAATATTTACTTTGATCCCTAATTACTTTGAGTTGAGGATTGCGTTTGATCTAGGTATTCTAGATAATTGAGAAACCGGGAAGCTTCAATTACAGTCGACGATTGTATGTTTGGGGAGAGGAGTCGTCTTCTCGCTAATGAATGATGCGGTTGGCCCAGGCTGGAACAAGGCGCGGGATGTTTCCCGATGGAGAAATCGGACGCGAGCTCGCTCTCCAGCCTCAGCTCATAGATGCTTCGATCCCCACGTGTGGCTGACTCGGGATTATGTCCCCCGACTATGAGCCATCATGAGGCAAGGTAGCGTAGGCTATTTTGCTATTGGACATCATCATGATCAGTTGGTTCCTCACTGATGGTTCGATTTTCTCGTATTCTCAAACCCTATTGCATTTTGTCGGGGAAGCCGGTGAACCCCATGTATATTTCACGTCTCAACTTCTCATCCCGAGAAGGTACGCTCAAACCCAGTCGAAGGTCAAATATCAAGGGATAATTCCACTCTTTATGCTCGGACTAAGCTAAGTCTATTCTATACTGGTCCAGCTGATTGAGCCCCTTCCATTCTTCTCAAACCTACTCATGCTTGTTCTCTTAAACGATCATCTTTATGAATTTGCTTTGTATCCTCCTCGTCAATTATCTCGGAATCTTAGCTCGCCTTCCTCTTCCTACACTCTCGTACGATATCTTGGGGTTACGTGATGATTCTTAACCATCTTCTAAGCAAATATTAAAACCTATTTCTCTTTGATGTTTCCCTGCTTCGTGAAAATTCACTTCTTGCAAAATGCCGAATTGGTAATTAAAACTTAGCCCGATTTCAAAATCCTCCTTTATTTTATTATCCGAATCACTTGTTTGTAGTTCCCCAAAAAATGACCAGAACAGGGGAAACAAGTAAGCACTACCAGGGAACAATCCAACACACTCCACATCAGCCGGCAAGGCGGCCGAAGGGACGCGTGATGATACCTTGGCTGACACAATAATGTACGTGCACGCACAATATCCTGAAAATCGATCTCGATCTAATAGACTGCGGAGGTCACGTGCAAAATTCCGAATGGCGTTCTCCGTGTCCTTCTTTCAAGTCCTCGTACCGAACAATTTTGGTTCAACTGGCCGGCAATGAAGACCTTGGGAAAGCCAGCCTCAATACCAGCACTCGGCAGGATGAGCAAAAGGTCCAGCTGTGAACTCTACCGCCATATGCAGCTCACTGATGTAGCGCGGCGGCTAAATCCTTTTAATGGTGGGAGTAATTTCACGGATAATTATGGGCAGGGCTCCAATCTGTTTAAAAACCCCGGCGTTTCAGAGGCGCCTTACTGGTCACCGTCATGTTTCAGCCCAGGGCAGGGCATGCTTGACACCCGCATTTGTCAAGGTGAGTGATCGCCATCACTCAGAGGCGGAGGTGTTGAAGAACCCGAATAAGATATTAATAGGCGCGGGACAACTCACCCATGCCAAATGAAAATGTGCTGAACGTTGTTGAGATCTGCCAACATGGAATATCTCGCTTACCCTGTACAACAACGCCATATTGTTAGATGCCATTGCGATGAGAGAAGGTTCACCATCACACAATTGAAATAGTAGTGGAATAATACTCACCCCAAGAATTAAAAACACAATTAACCCAAGAAAGAGGTATATATGTTTCAATTGAGGGCTCTCCCATCGTCGCCCGGCAATGAAGCGCCATAAGGTCAATCCACGAAACGTCGGTCTTCGCTATTCAATCCCGGTCCGCATCATGACAAAGGCCGACAGCCAAAGTCTTCACATACATACGCCGCCTCAAGTCATCCGGTATATCAATCAATTGGAAGAAGATGGGTGTGGTGAAGAATAAAAAGTCCCAGAGACTCTGAAACTTGTACTTGAAAGTATGGTCGAGAAGTTGGTGATGCAAACTTCATGTTGAGTTGGGAGAATTGATGGATATGGATACGATGTTTTATGTGGCGATGAGGTTAAGAATTATACCTAATGTTTGCTATATCTCAATACGTGTTAGTTTAAATAGGACTGATAATTATACTGTCCTCTCACAACATTATTCAATCAACTCAATGAATCTATAACTTGTAAAGATAGCCCGATTGGACTATTCTAAACGTCCATGTCTATAATATAACACCGAATCTGCTCATTATTCTCCCATTACCTCCAATCTTGTTGTTTTTCTGAACCTTTCTCTAGAGTGATTTGTGTGCCCATTTGTCGAATCCATAGTCCAGTCCAATGTCAATAGAAATTTCAGCGCATTCTCCCTGAACTCCAGTTCCTCCCCCTCAGCCCACGAGAAAAGAAACAAAAATCAATCCTGTTTCCTAAGCCTTAATAGAACCTCAAAATTTCCACAGCGGCAATATAATGAAACAGAAAACAAAGAAACCAAGTCACATGGGATATGACAAAAGCATTCGTCCATTTGTTAAGCGTAACACCATCGAAAGCCTCTTTGTTAAGCATTGCCAGAGACACCCGTATACTTCCACTCTGATACATTCTACGGGCCCCTGTGTCTTCGAGAAGAGTGTCTTTGAGAGGAGTGTCTGCGAGAAGCTGATCCATGGACACTGCGGAGATGGGCATCGGATGAGTCGCTGCTCCTATCTTTTCGAGACCCCCGAAAAGCGAAATAAGAAATACCAGTCATGTAGATCGATATGTTGCTGGAGCCAAAATAGTCAGTCAGATTATTACACACTTTGGTCTGCGCGAATAGAGGGTTCTAGGCCAAGCCTGGACAGGCGGGCAGGGCGAACAAACCTGATCAAAATGGCGATAACCAGGACTCCCCAACCAAGGCCGCAGCTGGCGCCCGAGCACGACCTAGTGTTGGACTGGATGGCCATGAATGCCACCGCGGCCCAGAAAACAATCTCGAGGGAGTTGAGGATCAGGTTGGCCTTCAGACTTGCAAATCTCTTCCATTGTGCCACATGCTCTGACAAGAGCTGATACGCAACCACGACAAGCGACTTGGCACCCTGGCATGCTTTTAGTAAAATGATACTGAGTATTGCTAAAATGTGAGGTTCTCACCATAGCTATTGCCATCATGTCTGTCCTTGTCCTTGTAGTAATGGTCGTGAGACGAACGCCCGCAAGAATAATAGCCACTATTATCATTATGCATTCAATGATATGAAGGGGCATTTTGAGCCGCGGGATAAAGTATTTCCCCATTTTTTCGAAGGCAGAACCGGTCATTTCCATTTTAATCTTTCTTCCTTATTGTGCGGATCCAGATCGTTGAAAAGCGCCAAAGTAATGAATTGAAGATCCAGATGAGTTCGGGAGACTGGTAGGCGAGAACATACGGTTGGGATTATTGTGAGCCATGAAAGGTAGAAGAGCAAACTGGATGATGAAGTCTTTATATGAAGCTTGGATGGCACTCGCTTCCATCTGTGGCTGATCATGACATGTTGAATCGTCTGCCCGACTACTGTCCATTCTGCATAGAATTCAATAATACCGGTCTCGGTCTCGGTTTCGTGACGTTCAGTGACCTGCATGATGTGGCTGTAGCACTAAAGTGCCGGCGCTAGAGCATTAATGTCTGAGACCTGATCGGCTACTGCTGCCAACAGATCCGAGCCGGCATACATCAATATTGAGGCGCGCGTCTGCCAGGAGAGACGACTGCTTCCCGTACCCGGGCTCAGCAGTGCTATTTACTTGCCGCGGTGAATTTACATAAGCTTTAGGGCTGTGTCGCCAATTGATGATCGGGAGACAGCCCTTGGATTTCATTCTCACTATGGATTTTTCTTTCCTTTTTCTGATTCTTTGGCAAGGGCAATGACTGGACTGGGGGAAACATGTACTGGAGATTAAAACCTTTTTGTCTTTACTCAAGGAGGCAATGAGCTGCGCACACTTTCCACAGCCGAACTACGCCTGAGTGCCAAGACGCCCCCGTCTTGTCAGTGAAACCATCATCTCGGTCTCTTCATCACTGCCGCAAACCCAGCCCGACCTTGATTAAGACACAGGGCTGGCACCCGGAGATGCACATAGTAAGCTGATGTGCGCGCAAACATGTGGCTGGGGGAGTTTATTCGTACCAAGCGACGTATATGTGGAACATCAATGACATGACCCCTGATGGTTTCACCCGCGTCATTGCGATAAGCTCCTGAGAGGGATACCGTACCCGAGAACGAGCCTCCAGTCTCGACCTTGCAAGCGCGGTCGTTAGTTTATTTACATTCATGCACGCTGCAATAGAAAAAACGTGTACGAACCAAGCTTCCGGAGCTTCCTGGCTCTACGCCTCACTCGCGACGAAGGTGTAATTTGGAGCCCGCTCCATATCTGCGCGTTTAAGACTGGCCCAGCCCTCTAGGAATCAGTGGCTGGGCTAAGCCACTTCTCATTATCTGATGTGCTATTTCAGTGAGCCCATGGCAGGGGCTTCGCGTCAGAGAGGGGTTTGGCAAGGTTCTCGCTGAAATACATTCGTCACATATTGAGAACCTTGAGCTCTATAATTCCGCTTAAGCCTCCTGATTCTAGTACACTGCATTAAAGAGTGCACACAGTTATTTCTTAGAGACAAGTGACCTGGCAAATGGCTTTAGATCTGCGACGTGTTTATCGGACTGGGTAGGCCCTTACTGTGATTTCCAAGCTTGAAGAGAAGAACTTCAAGGTGCGCCGGCTTGTCAACAGTAGTGAGAACAAATTCAATCTGAGGACCCTGTAACCTTCCCGGCACATATATTACTGGATATGGGAGATGGCAAAAAGACCCTAGTCTGATAAGAAAACAGAAGAATTCAATGCAATGCGGGAGCTGATATACGCCTGCTTTATAACGTAAAACCCGCGGCGAGGGATATGGACATGAATGGCTCCTGATAATTATTGCGAAGGCTGTTGTCATCACGCTTGCCGACTTAAATTGTTTTAGAAAATATGTAGCATGAAGCCTGATTTGCACAGACTGTGCTCTAAAGATTGAGCCCAAGCTACTTCAAGCAGCTCATTCTACAAGATGTGAGGCTCGACTAACAGGCATGGAAAAATTCGTCCATTCATAGATAGGAAGGAAAAGTAAACCTCCTGAAATTAGGAAACACCATGTGTAAATCCATACATGCTAAATCTAATTGACGTCAACTTAAACGACAACGATAGGGTTTGGGGCCACTCTTGACCCGGGAGTCGGTTCGAGGACGGGTCCTCGGCTATATGCAGCATCCGTTTAATTTGAGTTACAGTACGAATGTTCAGCCCCTCCCTACTATAATTGGTTGTCCTGGTTTGTGTGTGTATCTAGATTCCGGGGTATTTCAACGATCGCCGCCTCCCAAACAAGAGGCAACACCCACTGCCCCGCAACGTTGCCTCGGGTATGAATGTCCGAGCAAGCTCAGCTTTGATTCAAATTATCATTACGGCTTTTGGAAAGATGTATCGTCTGCCATATTTTGAATCATGGCCAGCGGGCATTCCCTCGAATCTTGGCATGTAACCTCGTGGACGAAATCCCCTGAGCTCCTGCTCTCGCCCAGACTTTACTCCAGCCAACAAACCTATAAAAGCCTCTCTTTTGACGAACTAGGAGTCACAAGAACACTCTCTTCTTCTGAGCACATCCATTTCAAAGCCAAAATAACTATACGATGGAAGAGGAAAAGAGAATCAGCTTAGCCACAAATGGTATGTTGGCTGCCTGCTAAAACGCCGCTATTGACTACCTGTGTCGTCACAATCAAAGAAGAAGCCACGCTCCAGGGCCTGCTCATGTATATAGTTTGTAAGATGTTTGTGAGCTGAGTCGCCATCTTGTCTAGTTATTATCGATGCAGTTCTCGTAGGGCAGGTTTCATTTCTGTAGGGTTTCGACTTCTCCTGGATTTCCTTGACTCGATCGAGGAAGTCGTTCGAGGCATAGATGAGCTCGGCAACCGGGTCAAAGCCCTGGTCTTTATGAGTCGTAATTGCCTCCTCCCCAAGGTATAGCTTGGGGTATATTGATTCTGAATCGCCAACCTCGGTCATTTTTTCTTGAAAGTCCTCAACGTCGGCCAGCACAGAAGGAATATGATATTCCATCTCATTGTAAATTTTATCAAATCTATGGTACACCGTACTCTGGGGGCCGCCGAGCGGCTTGTGTTGATCAAGGAACTCGTCGGCAGCAATCTTTGCCTCGGAAAGCGTATCCTCACGCACACATTGCAGGTGTAGCACGCGGGTGTGGTCTTTGTCAAGCTCGATATTTAGCAACATGTCGCGGTCGTTCATTTTGAGGTCAACGTCCCGCGGGTCAAGACCATCACGGGCCAGCGAGTATGTAACACTTGCGAATACGTCGACGTCATTAGGGTGAGGGCGGCCGTCAGGTGCCTCATGAGAAGGGACAGAGGGGCTCGGCTGGCTTGGCTTTTCATCTGCCATTCCGCGACGTAACGAGGGCAAATTCCGGGCTATGTCAAACGGGCACCCGGTTAGTCTCGCGCTGCTTAATCGATGTTTTGGGACCAGAAAGGGAAAGGAGTAATGATCTCACCAGGAGAGCTCACGGAAGCTGGTTTTCGTAACGGTGTTAGTGTCCTAGCTCGGTGATGAAGGCGGCACGGTGCTTTGAATTGAGGGGTCCAGGTTATAGTGCTCCTGAGAAACGCAATCGCCTGACGTGGCCTGCCCCAGTGGCGCATGATATAGCAGCTGCCTCGGTGGGCAGGCTCAAGTCAAATGCAGAGTGTGACTACTCGCTGGCTCTTTCAACGTGCTCTACAGACAAGGTGGGGAGAGGATTAATCCTTCACGCTTTAGCTTAAGGCAAAGATGGGGGAGAAGGGACGGGGAAAGGCAGCACGAGGCTTTAAATTGCAGGCCAGCTGTCATGCTCCTAAAAATAGCAAGTACGTACTAGAACATGGATAACCGCTCAATGCAAGATTGGCACCATTACGGCTTCGTTTCTGCTTTGGCTACTCCCTCGCAGCGAGAAGGGCGGATTACTGTGCTTGCTATATCCTAGCTACCTTTGGTGGCGGCTGCGCCGTCTTAATGGTTCTGACAGATTGCGAACACTGCCGGCTATACGAAGCGCTCAGTTACGTCATCGGGGGTCTTTGTTGGCTACTGCTTAGGTATGTGCGGGACATTGTTGTCCATACCTCCGATGCTGACTGAACAACGAAGGGAACTTTGTTGGCCCCATGGTTTTCAAGAACTCGGATGCGCCTGGGTACGCGCCTGGTCTTATTGTCACCGTTGTAACATCGATTGTGGTGATTGTACTTGCAATTGTGTACCGCTGCGTATGTATTTGGGAAAACGGTCGCCGTGATAAGAGCGGCGTAGGCGAGGGACTCAATCATGCATATGAACATGATTTGACGGACATGAAGGTATGTGCTCCAATCCAGACACAACTGCAAATAGTTGACCTGTTTGTCTCTCGCTAGAATCCGCAATTTCGGTACATCTATTAGGACTTTGAGTGTTTAAGATGATTTAGTCAATCTATCAACATCGGTCCGTATGAAAGGCGATCGGTATTATGGATTACTCCCTTACAATTGGGCTCATAGGACTTCACAATCCAGTGTATGCTGTAAGAGAGGAGATACTCGTCTTAGAAAGCGTTATTGAAGATATACTTCAAAACACGGTTGGTTGACATGACGTCCCGAAAGCAGACTCAAATAAGTTAAGAGGCAAAAGAGACTTCTTGTATTCTTGTAGAGTCTGTGATTATCGACCATTTTGTCAATAGATGTATAGCAACATGTGTCATATCAGCCATCATCATAAGCATAATCGTATGCCCTAGAATATTCATTGTGTTGAGTTGTCGGGCTCTGGCAGCTTCCCATTGCTGTTAAACTTTATTCTCTTTCTCTTAGGTATGCCCTAGAATAAATAGAGGGAAGAAATACAATGAATCGCCCTGAAACAAAAATATCCCGAACCAATACCAGCACTGCAGATGAAAATTAAATTCAACAGGGCGACGGTTTCTAGAAGATTGCTATTGAACTTAGCCGAATGCTTTTCTCGGGCGTCATTCGATGCGCCTGACGGAGTTGTAGCCCGGATAGAATTTGGAATCCATTTAAAGGTGAACTTTGTCTTATAGCCAAGAGCACCCAGATTTTTGTTTTGTATGAAAATGTCCTGACAAAGTTTCTTTGCAAACTAGGAAAGTTAGCTGTCGAGTCTTCATGCGTTTAACCACCTCGCTTACATTGGTGGTGATGCTTTCCAAAAGTGGAATGGCTGCAATAATAGAGGATAGTAGTCTGAAGTAGAAGCATTGGGAAACCATGAGTGCGGTATAGTACAAGCTTGGCCTCGCGATTCCCAGAGCTTGAGACAGCTCTGACCCGTTCAGCCACCAGGCTTGGGCACTGAGAAATTGCCGGGATGCGTACATCGGTGGCTGTCCTTCGATCCCGTGTAGAATGTTATTGGCCAATGTAGAGGACTTTCTGCTGGGCTTGTATTCAGATATGAGCAGTGATTCCATCATTGCTCTGGATTCCTGCGGCGTCTTCATCCAATCGTGTGGGACGCCCATGAGATAAGCCACGTAGCGCCAGAGAGCCAAATAATCTGCGGTCTCACACTGTGAGAGGTAGATGCCCTGCTGTGGGAGACTAAGCCATATCATGCAAGAGCTGTATAGACTGATCGTACCCATACAATCCAGATCGTTGATCGGAATACCGTATTTGTCGATATCATAATATTCTGGATGTTCTTTGGCAAGTTGCATAATCCTACGACGAACGGAGCTATGCAATAGACGTACTCGTATCGAGGATTCCCAGCCTTCACCACCAGGCTGGATTGATTTCAAATCTTTGTGTACAGAAAGCGCATGTTGGGCTGTTTCGAGAATGCGCCGTCGAACAGACGAGCACCCGAAGCTGCCGGTCCGGTCGAGGGTTTCTACAGTCCGAGAACTTGACATTCCCCCAAGTAATGACATATATATCAACTAGTATTCGGTTAGAGAGCCTTTATTGCTTTCAGCTCGCTATTGCTGAAGTGAAAATGACGCTTACACAAGTGATAGAGGGCAGAGCATATCTCCAAAGCACCCTTTGTCCTCTTTCGATCTGATCCCAATCGACCCAGGGAGGAATAGTATTGACCTCTTGTAACAGTTGACGGACGTGGGGATCTTCTTGGTCGTACTCTTTCAGAATATTGAAAACGTCTTTTGAGTGAGGGTTCTCCTTCGAAGAAGGGCATGATGTATCAAGGGCATCAAGGGCCTTTGCGGAAAGATGATCGAAGGTATACAGGTAGCGGCCAAGTTTATCGGGCATCTGATGGTACGGCGTCCAGCTGAATTTGAATCCATACCAGTTAACTGATTCGCCATCGATGCGAGCCTCCATGATGTTGACTGAGTAGAGAAGCGCAGTGATTATGTAATGAAAGGTGAACTCCTATTCTTAAGAAGGGGAATAAGTCTACGAGTAAATCACAGCTATTACAAACACAGATCAGCAAGAATGTGTGTAGCAGCGGGACCAAAGGTAGTTATTGCAAGCTGTAACGCCATTGCGGGTACCATTAGCAAGACCGCGATATGATATTTCGGGTCCATCTTCTTCGTAACCCAGCCCTATTCAGCACTTATGTCCGCCGTTCCACATCTTTGGTTAACCGATAGGAGAAGGCTGACACATTGGAGAGACGTTTGAATTGATGAATCCGGATTCAAGGTTGGATGCAAAGTGGAACTATCAGGGGCCACGGTCGGAAGGAATGGCGGCTGAACCAACTACCGAGATGGGAACCACACAAAAGCCAAGAGCTTTCCCATGTGTTCGCCCTTGTCAAGGTCAAGAGCAAAAGGTTAGTCATATTTTGTAGATAACACTAAAACATATCGCGATGCGTGGTTCCATCAGAGATGTAACCATTCCGGGAATCATCCCTGACGTATAACGGATATTAATACGAAGTGTCCGTTTTTACCTCGCTATGGCGCTTGTAAATAAACTGGACTGGATGGTATTGGGTCGCCCATCGCAAACGAGAAGTAGTAAGTGATGAGCTTCACTCAGCGGTCCCGAGCAACCAGCAAGGGCAAAGAGCGCCGTACTAACCAGTCTCCACACAGAGGCTCTTGTCTGTCTATAATCTTTGCGGAGTAAAAGTGAAGGGAGATAGCTTCTTTTCTAGATTCTCTTTAAGAATCATTGTTTTCTAGATAGTTGTCACTAGCTTCGGCCAACATTGTGCTCTGTATCTTAGTTCGTCATTAATTTCAGCCCAAGCTGGCAGGTGGTTCCTTCAAATCGCTTTGGTTGCTTTCGTCCTCGAACCTATTCCAAGATAGGACTCCTCCGCTGGTGGGGACTACAATATGAGCGCTGTTAAGTTCATGCGGGTTCCAGCGGCTGTCCCGCTCGGCTCAACTTCTCCGTTGGTAGTAGCCGTTTCACTAACAGATATCCAATGACACACGAAACAAAAAAGAATATGTCTATTATCAGAGCCTCTGAGGTATTGTGAGGGTTGCTCTTCTATGGTGAGCGACCTTTTGAGGCTATAAACAATTAATATCCCTCGTTCAACCTCTTCTGTATTTCGGACGTTAACTCAAAAGAAAAAGAAGCAAAGCAAGACAATAAGCCTAGGACGATAAGAAAGGAACGAAATTAAAGATAGGATGACACTCCCAATAATAATTAACAAGACATATGTAAAAATTCAGAATAGGTTTTAGACTCGCGCAAATGGAATCTATATCTTCATCCGGATCCCCAATTCCCAGACCAAATTGCTGCCCTGATAATCTTACTAGATTTTGCTTCCCGAAGGACCCATTTTTGCTTGTCCATCTCCAAATGGCAGATCCTTCGGCCCCAAAAACCCGTGTTGGATGGAATGGTTGCCGCATGCCCCACGGATGATAACGAGAATTCTCTAGCCCGTATCGTATCCCTGCAGCCAAAGTAAGCACTCGGGTGGTCAGCAGGCGAGATGACTCAACCACTTGTGCCATGACTCAATCCTACACAACCTCAATGGTCAATGATAAATATTGAAACCAAACATCGGCATCCTGCTCAGCAAACCAAGAATCTTCCTTCTCCGTTCACATCGCACGACATACTCTTATTCTGCAGTCTCCCAGGATCACACTAGAAGGGCATCATGGCGGACCACGAGACTACCCCCGGTCCTACGAATCCACTGCTATTGAGAGAGATAGTGGCCGAGGTTATGAAATGGATCGACCTAGATTATGGATTTAGTCATGAAGTCCTTTCGGGAAAACTTGATGAGTACGATGAGCCGGAAGTGCTCGCTACCTATGGGAAAAACGGTGTCCTTGCTCGCTGCTGCTGCGTCAATCGGCTCTGGTTCAACGAGGCGGCACCATTGTTATGGGCGGCACCCACCCAATTCACCTTCGCGATGGACCAGACACTCTCTAAGCTGTTCAATCAATTAGATGAGTCACGGCGACAGATGTATGCCAACTTCGTCAAGGAGGCTGTCATTGCTGGCGTTCCTCCTGATGAGGCTTTCGAGAACGATGAGCCTCTAAAAGGGCTCGAGTTTCCCAAGCTCGAGAATGTAGACCTGCCTTTGGCCGGCTGGGGACAATCAGAATACATCCCGAGAATCGGTAATCATCGAGTCAAGATTCTCTCTATCGATCCGTCCTTCGATGTCTACCCAGACACCTACAGGGTTATGCAAGAAGAGTTGGGTTCGATTTTGGAGCAGATACCGGTAAGAATCGCCCTTCTACTTAGTCATTGGCTCTATATCGTATCGTCAGTCTAACTGCGTCATATAGGATATATTTCCGGAACTAGAGAATGTGGATATCATAGACAGCTGTTTGGCTGCTCCTGGGGCCATTGAGAAATGCGAGAGTCGCTTGCCAAAGTTGAAATACTTTAATCGCGGCCCTGTAGTAGTTGGAAATGATTACCCAGCGAGCCGTACCTAATCACTAGCATAGTAATGTAAATATAATATCATTTATCGAGGTCCAGTGAGCCAGCTTTCATACCTCGGCTTTGTCTATTATACTTCCCCAGGGAACGCGAAACTACGGTCGTCGGCAAGTTGAGATTTCACTTTAACCATTTAATCTAGACCCTTTAGACGCAATTGGATCGTATTTCCACCAATAGATGGATTATTAGATGATACCTAATGACCAGTTGCATTTATCCCCCTCTGGTGGCGGGAGGCTTTCTATTCTTGTTAATAACTCGGTAGCAAAATCCTATAGGCTGAAATCCGCGGGACCGTTTCAACCACTCCCATCGACCACAACCCTCCCACTCATCTCTAGTCCCTTTTGAGTAGCTCCATTGACGCGTGAAACATGGTTGAATCATTGCAGAGATTGGTCCCTTGTTATAACTAAGTCCCATTACGTCGCTGACAAGATCTCCTACATATTGAGAATGGTGTCCCTGGCGGTAAAATGAGGGGTTTCTTTGAAAACACATCAACATTTACCACTCCCACCTACAGAGGTCAATATGACATTCTTCAAATCCAAAGTAGTTTTGATCACCGGATCTGGAGGCGGGCTCGGACGGTATCTAGCTGGTGCCTACCTCGAAGCCGGAGCTCAAGTTGTGCTCTGCGATATCCACGAGGAGAAGCTGAAGGCGGCCGAGGAAGGACTTTCCGGAAAAGGACCGGTCTTTGCCCAGAAGGTTGACGTCGCCGACGAAGAATCAGTCAAGGGCTTGTTCAAGGCAACGGTCAATAAGTTTGGACGAATCGACGTGGTGGTGAACAACGCCGCCATCTTTGATGCCTTGGGTGAGTATCCATTCCGCTTTCATTGTCAATAGGTAGTAACGACGGCATACAGCTCCTGTGGGGAAAACAGACAAAGTCTTGTGGGATAGAGTCATTTCAGTAAATTTGACAGGTAACTTCGTCGTATCGAAGGAAGCTGTAAACCAGTTTCTAGCCCAGGAACCACAGGGAGGCAATATCGTCAACATCGGATCCATCGCGGGGACAAAAGGCTATTTTGCTGGTAGGTGCATATCAAATATTTAATACTTATCTGACCTAGAGACCTACCACTCGCTAACGAGTTGTTCAGGTATAACTTACACCGCTTCTAAACACGCATTGCGTGGCATGACCATGAACATTGCATCCTACTATGGCAAGAAAGGCATTCGCTGCAATTTGGTGCAACCAGGCGGAATGGATACAGAACTTTACAAAGAACTCGAGGGAAATATGGAAGCTGAAGGTCTGATTCTTCTGGGGGGGAATTGCCCAGCACTGAAGGATGGAAGCATAATGGTTCCACTAGACAAAATGTCAAGCCTAATTATGTTCCTATCAAGCGATTCAGCATCAAGCCTCAATGGCCAAATCCTAAATGCGGACAACGGAATGGTTAGCTCGGCCTGATGAGAGCATCTCTGCAGCTGTTTTGTGTCCCAGAATAACACTGGTCACGAACATCCCAGGTCAAGATAGTCCACCTGTTAAGTCACAATATATAACTTTTGTTTCCATCTCATTTATATCATAACCAGATGGTGGAAATACTAGGACCAAAGGTGTTTTTGTCACGTTTTAGCAGAAACCTCTTTCACATACTACAATGGAAGTACAGGTATGGGTATAACACGGCCGCACTATCAATAGCCTGCTCTTCTCAATAAGCCAATATCAATGCTATTGGGAGAAACGAGGCGGCACTTGGGTCGGCCGTGAGAACAGCACATCGGGGTATCATTAAAAGCTTTATGAGCGCAGGGAATATGATGAAGAAGAGACTGGTGTCTAGTCTTATTATTTGACAGTTTCACTTCATATAATTCGTTCTAGTACTCTAAGCAGGTATTCATTATAGATAAATAGATATGCCACTTAAACGGGGTTCATTGCTTAAAGAACTCTGAAGCTAAGATGCCGCTCAACAAACTGTCGTTTTGAATGATGAATGATAAAGGAATTTTACAATGATGGACATGGGGATAGCTGCTGGAGCCTCGCTAAACTAATTCAATTGTTTGGGTGTGTTTCTGCCTTGTTGCAGCCGAACAGCCACACCACAACACAGCCCCCTTCCTTCACCCAATCACCTTCAGTCCCATGCGACACACATCATCACGGCCGCGAGGGAAAACAACCAATTAATACACTCTCTGATATTGATGCTACATACCCGAATATGGCGAGGCCTGCTACAGCCCGCGAATCCCGCATAATTGGCGCCCTACTCGGACTCCACGCCGGTGACTCACTGGGCGCTGCTGTCGAATTCAAGTCGCACGACCAGATCCGCCGCGTCTATCCGGACGGATTGCGGGAGATAGTAGGTGGTGGCATCTTCTCCTGGACGCCCGGCCATGCCACCGACGACACAGACATGACCCGGGGGGTGCTCCTGGCCTACCGCGATGCCTGGCACGACCTCCATCGCCGCCGATCCGCCACGAACCAGCACGTCCCGCCCTTCTCCAAGCAGGATATCACCTTGCGCGCCGGAAACTACTTTGTCGCATGGTGGAAGGGGACGCACTGGCCCGGGCGCCAGCCCAATTCGCGCCCCAAGGATATCGGCTACGCAACCAATGTCGGGATCCAGGCCTTCCGCAGAAACCCTCGAAAGCCGAGCGGTGCTGGCCTTGGCTCCGCGGGCAACGGGTCCCTCATGCGGTGTTTGCCCACCGCGCTCTTCCAGCCTGACCTTGCCAGTGTCCTGTCCAACAGCATGTCCATCAGCACCATCACCCATACGGATCCCCGGTGTACCATCGCCTGTGCTGCGTACAACGCCTGCGCGGCGGCTCTCGTTGATGGCGCCGATCCAGACTACGCCGTCCGCGTGGGCGAGGCGGCGGCAATCCAACTTGAGGAGGCCGAGGGGCCTGTCACTGCGGCTATTCGGGCTGGGCGCAAGTTCGACTTGGCCCGCGCAGCCCGGGATGGACCGCCTAAGGAGTTTCTCCCGAACCTTGCGTCGGGGTACGTCCTCGAGACCTTGTTGATTGCCATTGCTGCCGTGCTGGACCCGCGCAACCTGGAGGATGTGCTCGTGGATGTTGTGCGGATCGGCAAGGACACAGACACGAATGGTGCCGTGGCTGGCGGTTTACTCGGCGCGCGGCATGGAGAAGACGCCATCCCGGGCAGGTGGAAGGATGTATTGCAGTTTGGTCAAGAGTTCCGCGAAGTCGCCCTGGAAATTCTGAGGCTAATGGAGTCGGATACTTGATACGATTTCCCAGTGTCTGAGCACCGGTGGATTGATCAATGGAAATCATTAAAGAGTATCATCCATTCATGATATCGAGAGAAGATTTTATCGAACGCAGCTCAGGTGTGAGAGGGACTAAAGATGGGAGACACAAATTCCCAGCATCTAAGATAAGTAAATGCATATATTTCATTCTTGCTTCTTAGTTTTCAAACAAAATCAGGTTATCTAGTAATATTAGCAGTAGAAAACTAAATATCCGTACTCAGATTATTCCACATCACATCTTAGATGTGGTTACAAAGGAAGACTGCCACCTCAGACTGGAAACATACGCAACGAGTTTGTGAGAGGTCAAACTTAAGCCTCAAGTCATTGCGGACGTGTAGTGGATGGAAAATTTACACTTCAAGTTGTCTTCAATACAATGATAATCCCTCGGGCTGTTCAACTCCAAGACTAGGTATTACGGGACTGCCAGGTGAATAACGAAGGGTCGATAGAATACCATAGAATTTCTTTCTACAGCCTCCAAATACCTCTAGCCCTATCACAATCTACCTTGAACTGTTGGGTCGCAATTCTGCAATGTGCACAGCCTCACCAGGCTTCTCAGCCAACCTAATCGGTAACCCGCGGCGCTTCTGCCTCCACGGGCGTAAGCAGAGAGAGCACAAGTGCGGGGAAACGCAGTCAGCATCACTTATCAGAAACGGTCTATTGGTTGGCCGGTTCTAGCTGAGACCGAAATTGCCACAAAAGGGAAAGAGTACAGTAATCAGGCTGAAATTATACACATCACATATGACATAGCCGCATATATTTTTCTAGGCGCAAGTTGGACCCGACTTCTACTTATCACGCAAGTGCGCAAAGTTATTGCTAAATATCCGGGTCATATTTCTCGGAGCCCGAGAGTTGTTGTATTTATCTACAGGAGGATATCTAGGTAGTTGAAGGGAGGCCCAATTTGCAGAGGCATCCTCCGTTTCCAGGACTAGATGGGATCTTGGCTTAGTCTCAGGCTCATCGGAAGAAGTAAAATGCGTTAGGCCGCTTCCTAGCTTTCATTAACCATTGTAGACTTAGGTTTGGATGAAACATTTCACGCATGAGCTGCCTTTTCAGCGTCGGATGTCAAGGATCACTGGCTTTGAAATAGCGTAATATAGATACGAAAGACACTCTCTATCACAAGTTTCGCCGAGGACGCTGAGCGTGAAAAGAAATAAGAATTCGTTTGAATATATAAAATTGCCCTGATAAAACCCATATACACATACCTGTATCGCCCCTAGTTTATTCAAAGAAGCCATCCTGATCCAACGCCCGTTGCGAGACCCAAGAGTATTTTCCGCATCAAGGGGACATTAAAAAGCGTAGCATGTCTCTCTCTTTACAAAGAACTTCGCCGTTGACCATTCCGAGGATTGAGTATTGCTCTCAAGCCTGAGTTGTTGAGATCCTCAACAGTTTTGCTAATCAGGATCCGCGTGCGCCGAATGAGCGTCCTCGCGAATCCCGCTGCTAGTCAATCCCCTCCGCCCGAGAAATCTAACAGCTTCACGACCTCCTCGGCAGTGAGCTCTTTCGTTGGTGGCAATCGATATATGAGGATGCCCTGGTCGGCATCCTTTAACCGAAGAGACACGCCTTCCTTTATCTTGCCGTTCTGGTCTCTCTCGGGCTCGCTAGTTTCGGGCTTGCTCTTGTTGGAATCGCCATTCTTGGGCTCGCCATTTTGGGATCCATTCTTCTTTGCGTCGTCGTTTGTGGGCTCTGCTTCCTTCTCGATGCTGTAGACCACCTCTACATACGACCTGGATGCACCGAGCTCCTTTTCTTTAAGAACGCAGAGGAATGTGGTCAGATCAGGCATGCTTGCTGTCTTTTCGGGGAAATCCTTCTCGATTGTGAAGTCCCCTGCTGCAATGTCCTTGGCCTCTACTTTGCCGTTGTAGCCGAGCATTTTCTTGCCCAGACAGTCGTGCCCCAACTTCTGCAGCCCGACCAGGGAGAACTTCAGGCTTTGTGCCGTAGCTGATGGAACGATAGTAAAGGATGAGAATTGCTTGTACTCCCTTAAGACAAAACTTGCAGCCTCTATGTTTAACCCGATGTTGAACTGGTTTGGGAATAGGTTGGCAGAGAAGTCTTGGGTTCCCTATGTATAAAATAACGGATTAGCACATGCCGCAGACAAAACATACTCGTGAAATAACTTACCGCCTGTAGGTAGCAGTCGACCTTGGAAGCCACCTTCTTTTCAATGAATTGGCGCAAAATCCGTAGAGAAGAACCGCCCATAAACCTGACGTTCCTGGCGGCGTTAATTGCCTTGCACAGCGACTCAATATCAAGTTGGCCGACTGATGTGTTTTGACCCTCGTTTCTTTTCTGTTCTTTGTTGATGCACTCCTCGTACCACTTTTCCACGGCGTTGCTCTCCTCATCTTTTTCTAAGGCTTTCTTGCCCTGATTCGATGAATCACAACCTTCCTTCTTCGAGTGCTCCCCGTACTCCTCCTGCACGGCGGCGTTGTACCGTTCAATCTCGTCATTGGTACGGCTCACCAGTTCTTCATGGTAATGTAAATGTAGGTTCACTGGGTTTTGAATCTCTTCTAGACTGTCATAATCCACCAGAACCTCAACTTTTGGGGCTGGTGAGGATCTATAATATTCCTTGGACCAATGAGTCAGGCAACCAGCAAGGTCCCAAGCCATGAGTTTGGCGTGCTTCTTGGACTGCTCTTTATGTGAGTTGATAGGTTTGGTAGCTTTCCTCAGCTAGAGAGCAATCGTGTTAGTGAAAAAATCAAGGGAAAAATTAATTATAGAACAAAGGCAGGGCTCTTACCAGGTCCAGGTCCTCGCTGGGGATTTCTTGGCCCGCCCTCCGCAGCTCTTCCTGTCGCTCCAGGAGCTTTTTTTCTTTGAGACGGGAGCCCAGGAGGGCCTTGAAAGCGTCGTAATCTGTCTTGTACTTGTCCGGGAAATACTTGATGAGGAGCTTCTTGCATTTGTCGGACTCCTCCTTGCCCATGCTGGGGCCCCAGGCAACCTGGCGCGGCTCCAGGATCCAGATAACGCGCTCGGCCGGGCGGCGCTGGGCGACCTCCTTGAGCAGGGCGAGCGCGGCGGCGGCGTTGTCGGAGTCTATAGAGTCATTGTAGTAGATGGTCAAATCCTCGCGCTGGGCGTGGGGGGCCATTTTTGACGGCATTGCTTGGCGACGGGCTGGCTGTCGCGATGTTTGTTTGAGGCGGCAGGTGAGGGGAAAGGCTGCGAGAGCTGTTGGATTGATTGATGATAGCCTGACAGCCCGTTTGCCTTAAGTACCAGAGGTACGTAATAAGCAGTCGGACAGTGCTTCAGAGGCAAAGTTCCAGCAGAGCACCAAAGTGGGTCCCAAAGGCAGCGAAAAGCCTTGAAAAAGGCCTGGGGCAGTGCAGAAAGTACTTTACCGTTGGTGGCATCGCCGCCTGGGCGCAGGTACCGCTCATCCGATGTACCTGTATCATGATCACATCAGTGTGCCAGGACAATACAATACAATATAAATCACAATGGATGACTGCACCCCGCGTGTTCGGTGAGGGGTCTAAGGCGCCAAAACATCTGTGACGGACAAACAGACTGGGCCCCCTTGCCGATGGGCATTTTAATTGATTCTGCGGTGTCGTGCATCGTCTGCCATCTCCCTCGTGTCCCTGCATCACTGCCATTCCTTTGGTCAGCCGCCGCTTTCAGAATGTGACCTCTTGTGCTCCAGGTTAGGTCAATCACAGGCGATGACGTGCTTATGTAACCACTCACCTCGAAGATTCTGATTCAAGTCGACTTTGTCCGTGAGTCACCTGCGAGCGTCATAGCCTGATTACTAACATAAAAAGAGCAAAGCAGAGTACTTGGCAATCCCGTGCTTCCGCCACTGCAGCCGAGGTACTTCCAAAACTCCGCTAAAACAATGCAATGCAGCCCTAACCGCTAAAGTACCTCCCAATATCAGAATATCAGTTGAGAGGCCGTCCGTCACAGCCCCAGCACAGGTCAGAAGGCACTCTGAGGCCCCATGACAGGGCCATCGATCACCCAACGAGCCCCTGTACTTCTGGCATTGAAATTACTTCCTATTCCCGCACGCTTGATGCGATATTGGTTTGTGGCATTGCTGTCAGCACAGGGAGCCCCTTCGTTAGCCCTCCATCTCTCCTTACATTATTTAACAAGACCAGGTAAAAGCTTCATTAAAAAGAGTGGACAGTGCCCCATTTCTTGGTTGCAAAGTGGAAAAACCACCCAATTTTTTTTACTGTCATCAATAGTCACTCCTTGCTCGCGCCCTTGGCGGCGTCACGAACCACCTCCCCCAAGACTGGTGAGAGTGCCCTACATCCAGTCGGTGAGGCATTCACCTGAAACCAACAGGTCACTGCTTTCCTCTTTCTTCATCATGCGTTCTAAGAAAGCCTCACTAATGATCCTCGTGGTGTCATCTTCCCCAGTCTCAAGCCCCTGCAGGTGTCACTGACCACGAGTAGAACGTGATAGGAACCACCTGTCCCATGTGTCCCACGCCTTTGCTAGTTGATGATGGCAGCGCGTACATCGATAGATCTGGATGCGGCAGTGCTTCGCTTGGGTAAACTACCAGCATGTTGGGTCATCTTGGCAGCCAAGCCGGATCAGAGGCCAGGCTATCAGGCTTCTTTCACTCAGCATACGATCAGGCAGACGGTGAAGCATCTCATTGTCTTTCACATGCATAGCCCGGTCAAAATTACAGATATCTTATCTTCCGGGGACTTGGCAGGAATGCTCGCAAAAAGGGGGTGGTTGCCATTCACCCAACCTCGCCCAATACACAAAGCCGTCCTTTTAGAACACAGCCTCTTCCAATGCTGTGGTAAAATAGCCCTTGCTGTATACAGGATCGTCTGTTCATGTTGAAATGCCAACGCCAGTGGATCAGGGGTAAGTACGAATAGGGCCCATTCTTTGCAGGACCAACGATTGTTATGTCAATGCGGGGGCACTGTTGAGCCCAACAGACTGGTTTCACAAAACTGCCTTACCTGGACGTTAAAAAAAGTCTAAAGCATGAACCAAAAACCAGCTCATTAAACATAGTGATGCCTGGTTCCCGGCACCGATGCCCAAGTGGAGCATTGAATGGTTGCTAGCCGGAGTGGCTATGCCAAAGTCAACCCTGATTCCTCCAAGATTTTTCGGAACACTCTCCATTCTTCCGGCTTGTATCAATATCCCCCGCTTCTTTCCTTCTTGAGTCATCACCGCTCTTTTTCAAAAACATCAGTTTGGAGCTCTGGAGAAAAGTAAACCGCGTTGCTGGGTGCCTCGCGAGTTTTAACGGTGCCGCAATTCCGGGTCCGAGCTGCACTGCCTTGCTCTCGTGTTCACTCGCTTCCGTCTTCAGGAGGACTTCGATCACTCTGTCAGCCAAAAAGCGATCCGACGTATAATATGATGGTGACCTTTACGGAGCTGCTGACCGCTGGTGGAAGCGTTTACTATGTTCGTTTTAGGTCGCCGAGTGCCCCAAATGGCACCTCGCCAGGCAACCTCCTTGCCACTACAATATTTCCTCCACCGCAAATCGTAGACTCCCAGCTCATTACTCTTTAACCTACATTCCCGAAGTCAATGGAACTTTCGAAGCTTGAGGATGGTAGATGCCGTTGACCAAATTACACTCGAGTCTGCCTTGGAGGGTTAATCTGCTTTGCCTCTGGTGAGGTGAGCCTTTTCCTTTTTCTCTTGGACCCACTCATCCAACACCTGTATTATCTGTATATGATGCCATCGAGAGGGAGGCCAAGTCTCATGATAAGGGGCTGTGCTTGTATTGGGTGTCATGCCCCCTAATCTCCACGTAGGTAATCATGATGTAGAAAAACAAAGTCTGAGACTCCAGCTAAGACTCGAGGCGAGATTTGATGAATTCGCCACGGCCACTTCGTTCTCAAGGTGTGCGTGACAGGGGCTATCGCTTCACTCGATGCTGGCAGCTCCCCCTGTCCGAGAAACAGCTCCCCCCCCAAGATGGCTTGTCTGGCAAAGAGACCAGATTCTACGGAGTTCGAATGACTTCGAAGATTTCCCCATCTAATTCTCTCTTCCCAACTCCAAGAACAAGCTTCGGTCCTCAAAAGGGGCCTATCGGGCTAAGCTTCTGCAAAGTGGGAGCATGCTTCTCCAGGTATCCAAACGAGAATGGAACTAGGATTTGCACCAAGAAGACGACAAATTGCAATGCTCCCTCTCGCACATCTCATGGCTCATATCTACGGTCCAGTGACTCACTGATATGAAAATGTTCATCAGCAGTATTACAATTACAGACTATTCCCTCCCGAGCTAATAAATTAGCATGAAACTGCTCCACCTAACAGTTAATACCATTAAAGGCATCATCTCTCTGTGAATATCGGTTGAATTTAATCCTCTCCAAGCCAGTCAAGGAAATATTCTCAAGGCGACCGTCTCTGTTCGTCGTTCGATACTCTTTGAGTGAGTGGTTCCTCTCGCATCAGATCCCTCTTAAGAAGTGACGAAGAAGGACTAGTGACGGGCTGGCCAGCAGCTTGTTCTTCCAAGACAAGGTACAACTTCGTAGGCTATGTTACAGAGGCACTCCAGGGTTCTTCAGCCTCCTCCCTTTCGACTCACTCTATAGCCCCTCCAGTCTTGCGGTTAACAATGTTCACGACTATTCGACATCTCAGCATACTTTCGGTTATCGACCTACCTCTGTGGGCTGGGAAGAAAGTGTGGGAGAAGATGTCTTATAGAAGAACGTACTCAGACATGATGTCGGGCTGAGATATGGTGGTTTGATAGAGAGAGGTGAGATTGCGAGCGGGTGTAGTCTCTCCAGCAGATTGCAGGCACCAACGCTCTTAAGTAGGCATTCACTGTCTCCGATAGAGTGGACGAGAAGTGAGTCACGTCCGCGAGAGGAAGAAGATGCGGAGATTGACTTGCGAGCCTTCTATTAGGCTCTCGGGATGACTGCTGGGTTTTCTTACTCTACAATTGTGTCAGGTGGCTAAGTCACATATGGCCAAAGAATGTTTCCTCCCAGCTGTTTGGCTTATCCCGGCTTTTTCTTTCCTATCTAACATCATATAGAAGAGACTAATTACTGATAGGCCCTGAATGTATTGAGTAAAGAATGAATTTATTATTATTTATCAGAGGAAGTTAGTTCAGATAAAAACCTTCTTAAATACCGCCAGTATCATCATCCTGGGACTCGTCTAAATATCACACAGCCAGGGGGATTTAAGCGCAACAGGTGGCAGTCCCTAAAACGTAATCCAGATGAACATAAAATTCCCATATCCTCTGAGTAGACTTACGACGTTGTACTGTAGCAAGTGTTCATTGTGTTGAGATTTCGGGTCTGACATCTTCATTGCTGTTTTTTTACTTTGTGCTCGAAGTCTCTCACCCGTACTGTAGCAAGTACCTGGCAGGCCGCCCTTTCGTTTATCTACACTCAACACTGATCAAAATTTACCCATCTTCTGACATTTTTCGACGTATATTATACTAAATGTCAAGACAATTTCAAACGACAAGTTGTCTTGTCTATTATCACTAGACAATAGAACGTCACTAGAGCTATCCTTGGTCAAATTTGAATGGCTGTGCTCATCGTCGCTCCCAGTGTCATCCATCCAAGTTCACGCTTGCCATAATTTCACAACCATCGCCATCACTACAACAGGGTCAGGTCTCCAGAGTCACATGCATCTCGATAGTCGCAAGCCATGGCGAAGGAAGTGGAAGCAAAATTGAAAGGGAGATGACCAAGCAAGCCCTACCGAAGGGGAGCGATGAATTTGAACCCTCCCCAAGTAATAAAAGCTTCTTTAAGACTACCCGAAAAACCAACCACACCAATAGCAACCGCCATTGCAAAGCACCTAAGCGTGTTCTAAGGTGAATATATGCGCGAAATCGTTTTAAAAATGTCGATTTATGCATACGAGAACATTTGGGAATAACGGATCAAATGTACGTTCACCTCTGACAGCAATGTGTACGCGGGAAGGAATGCATCCTGAACGCTGTAGTTGTTAAACCGAGACCCGGCTACGAGGCTTGTGCCCGGCCGTACATAAGTTGCTAGTGGCGGATATTAAGGATAGCAAGCTAGTCATCTTAAGAATCCAATGATACCTAAGAGTAGCGTGA